TAATAAAATCACTGCCTACGGGACCTCCCTTTTTCTTTGGAATATATTCAGTGTCCTGCAGAGTAAAGACTGAATATTCAGTTATTTGTGAAGCTTATACTAAAGAATTTCCAAAAGATTACAAGACACTCCATGTTTCTAATTTAGAAAAAGGCAAACAGCCCCTTACTATTCTTCTGATAAGTAACAAATGCTAACCATACTAAAATTGTGACTTTATTCTCACAATTTTACGACTTGTATACCTTAATATTGTGATTTTTTTTCTTTTTAAAGTAAAGAATTTGTTCTCCCTGGGTTTTCCCCAGAAAAAATGATGACTTAATTTATGTAACATTTCAAACGTATCTCATAATATTCCAACTTTATCATCAGATTCTCCTGTGGCCTTCAGTGTCCATCGTACTACAGTACTATAGAATTTATTACTATACATGATGACCAAGACATTTATGCACAATAGTAAATTGTAAAAGAAAGAAGTGACTCTGCCAAATTGTTCAAATTCTTTCAGTTTTCATGGCTGCTAAGCTTCAAACTTGTTCCCTCGTGTCTCAGATTCTGCTATTGATTGTGTTCAGCACGAGGACCGTGCACTCACGACTTGTCCCCTGACTGCAGGGGTTTAAACTTCAAGGCCTCTGCCACTTTTCCTCCTAACCTGGAGGTCAGAGGGTCAAGGGTCAGGAGGAGCCAAGTGTTTGGGGAAGTCAATGTCTTTGTCCCCCGCTGACTGGGAGTGAGAGGTGCCCATCTGTTTAACAGGTTAACTCTGGGGAGACTGGCTGGGAAACATATGATAATATGTGGTCAGAGGATTAGCGAGTTAACATTGATGTCATTGAAGTATTATTAAGAGATTATCCCGCTCACTGCACCAGCTACCCAAGTTTAACAAACCACTTGATCTAAAACACACTAACACTTAACAGTGAATGTCTTCTCTTGTCAAAGTAGAGTATAGTGAGTATTCTGCTGCTGTCCAAACACACTGGGGCTGGATAATATGTTTGATGATTGCAATCATAACATAACCTTAATACCATAATATCATACCAATATACAATGCACACAATGCTAATAAGCATTAGCAATATATCTTTTCTGTAACAAGTCTTGTATTAAATTTAAAGGTAAGATATTTCCTTGAGAAATTAAAATCTTGATCTTCTGGTGATGCAAGAAAAAAAGTCAGGGAATCACAGCAAGTAGGATTCAAGCTATGGGGATCATGAATGTTGAGATAATGTTTTACTCCATACCAACAGTCTGACAATGCTAGATTTTCTGAAAGAGAGGAGTAATGCCTTTTTCTCGGAGAGGTTACAATGTTGTGAGAAAAATGGTACAAGCGAGGTATTAGAATTGGCACAATTTCCTGGAATTAATTATTTTTATGCTGCAAACACAATAAACAAAAAACCCTGTTCATCATCATTCTACCTGGTTTTATTACTCAGAGACTGATAAAACTATAAGTGGACTTATACATACATGAAAAAAGGTATTTGCATTTCTAATCACCATTTGAGGTAGGTGAAAAGAGTGGTTTCTTTGGGTTAATGGGCTGCTTGACAGTTCAAGAGTAAAATAAATATTAAAGAAGAGAAGCATTTTCTTTATATGTAAAAGAAGTATGTTTACCATGCAGTATATTTCTGAAGCATGCTTAGCTTAAGGTCTATTAGGTATATCTGTTGATGTGTGCAGAGGAGCAGTCTGTCCTATCTGGGATTGACCATCATGAAACCAAAGCCCCTCCACCCCACTCCATCTCTCTCTCCCTCCTTCCTTCCTTCCTTCCAGTCCAGGTACAGGAAGCATTTCTGATAAATGGCAGTACGATGGATGGGCTGACAGAGGGGCCGGACAATAATGGCTGATCTACAGGACACAAATGCAGCTACTGAGGAGATTTATGGGCCTCTGCTCATCGCAGACTGTCCAGTAACCGATGAGATGATTTCTCAAAGCACTGGACAGACGGCAGCGAGCGCAAAAAGGAAGAGCTCTTCCTCTCGTCACAGCGCTTTATTTATTAATCAGATGCTTCGGGTGGAAGATACTTGAAGAAGTGCACCCAGGAAACGGCACCCTGGTGGTAAACAAGACAAAAGATGGGCACAAACAAGTGTGAGAGAGTGAGAGGGAGAGGGAGCATGTCAAGGCATAAAAGGGGCATCGGAGAGGGAGGGGAGGAGAGCGGTTCTTTAGATGCAAGACCCTAAATGAACATGGTTGGCCAGAGACAATATGTTTTATATAATATGTAAGAGCTACTTTGAGGCAGCAATCACATTCAATAACCTACAAGTCTTGGTATTAACATTTCAAAGAACTTAAAGCCTTAATGACTGCAAAACTAGCACCAAAGCATCGCATATTTATCTGAGTTTTTTAAAGGACAGGGAGGAAAATGACAACAGTTTAAAGATGTCAAGGGAGTGTTATAACAAAAGAGAAGCCGAATGCTACTTCATGCTTGTATCATTGCCCATAAATGTAAATATTGTTATCTAATAATATAAAATATAACATGATTTATATGTTACTTAGAATACAGTAAAACAAGTGGATCTTAAGCAACTCTGATTTAATTTAAACGCCAAAAAAAATCTCTACTTCCAGGTTCTTTAATGAGAATATTTGATGGATTTGCATTGTCCTACATTATTATTTTCTACTGCCATTCAAGCAAAACAATCTAAATATCTCAACTTGTGCTTATTGACGTCTAATACCAAAATATAAAGTCTTAAACACAGTACTTCTTTGATTGAAAATAATGCAGGTGCAGATACAGTAGTTGTCAGCTCCCTCTCCATTTAGAAGCAGACTCTGTTGGAGCTACAGTATATGATGATCATTAATCCTCATTTTGTATATTCAGCAGTCTGCGAGGATCAATACAAGAGTGGAGAACAAGCCGTCTCGCCACCCCAACAGTTAATGTCTGATCAAAATGGTCCTTTAATTAGGAGCACTGTTGTAGTTGTTTGAAATCGGGGCCCTATCAAAGAGCGGTTTACAATCCCCTCCTCAATGCCAAGGTGATGTGGTGGCCAATGCGACTTTCAGAGGATCCCTGATTAAAAACTGCTCTGCGGTCCCTTGCCTCCTGACCCTTCACCCCAGCTCCACTCCATCTCAAAGCTGGGGAAATTAATTAAAATTTCACAAGAGATGGTATCGCATCCCATTTGAGATGAAGGTGCAGGACTGGTGGTGAGAGGGGGGGTGGGGTGGGGGGGGAAAAATCAATCAAAATCATCTTCATCCGCTCCTACAGCTGGTTAGCTTAAATGCAGGAAAGGAGCTACAAGATGGCCACAAAGGTTCTTCCTGTGAGTGGATTGAGAGCTTCCTGTGCCAGAGGGCCCAGCAAAGTCTGCTAAATAACGTCATCAATCACAGCGCTGGCTCACTCTCACTGCCCCACAAGGAGAACAAACACTAATAATTATACATTGTAATTTAGCCCAGAGGAAAGTCTGTCCCTGTTCCCCCCCCCCCTTTTATTCTCCCCAGTGGAAAGCAGCGTATCCCCCGCGCTCCACCCACCCCTACAGCCCCTTTCCTTTCTCCCTTTACACAACAATAAAATTACATTTGCATTAGCAGTGAGAGAATTTGGTTGGATGATTTATTGAAGCAATCAACACTATGCTAGCCAATCCTTGGTTCGTACACAAGAGAGTGTGTGTGTGTGTGTGTGTGTGTGTGTGTGTGTGTGTGTGTGTTGTGGAGATTGGGTGGGGTGTCTCGGAGCCCAGAGAAAGGAAGAAATAGCTCAGGCTGGGTACCAAAGGGGGACTTGAGGTATGAGCCATGCAGCAGAGCAATCACCAAGATTCTGCCTTTGATTAGATTAGCATTAAACAACACCCTGACAGATATGACAAATAGGTGCATTAGAGCCTGTCAGTCTTCTCTCTCTCTACCTTTCTATCTAGCTCACACTCTGGCTACTCCTTCGTCTGTGGACATTAAAGGGCTCACGTTCCCCTCCCTGTGTCCCTCTGGCACAAATCTATGCGTGGCTCATGACATCTAAACAGATGTGTAATCTGACTGTATTACCTTTTTAGAGAAGAAGCAAAGTGAATAATGGGAACCAAACTGGATAGGGGTTAAAAAGGAGGAGACAGTGGATGGGGGGTAAAGATGACGGGTGCTTTTTCTTTTTTTAAATAAAGCTGATAAAAAAAAAAAGCCAAGCGCAGTGGTGAGGGAGGCGTCATTAATCAGATGTGTTTTTGTATTATTGGAGATCTTTGTTTCCGTGAGTTGTTTTAAATGGTAAAGAAAGACGCAAACAAATAGGAGTTATTATCTGTTGTCCTTGTCTCAGGATGTGTTTGTGTTTTTTTGTTTGCTATACCATGAAAACAAGAGCATTAGACAGAAGAGACACACACACAGTCGCATTTACTGTAGGTATAGATGCAAAGTAGAGTGTGCACTATATGTTGGTTAACACACAGTAACTTAATAGCCTTCAGTAGCTTTGTGTCTCTTAATGCTAATCAGCCATCCTGGAGTGATCTATTGACATCCCCGATCATCGATCTGCCCACGCCTGCTTATGATCCCTGAATTAGTATTCATGAATCCAGCAGCAGCTAAATAAACTTGGCAACAAAACACCCACAAGATAACAGAGCCCAGAGAGATAATCAATGCAAAGCACCATCAAATCTACATTATCCCTCCTCATCAGTTTGGCCAGGCCACAAGGGCCAAAGGTGACGTGGACAGGTCGGCCACCCTTGACCCTCAAACCAATATTTGCGGCCAGAGATGCCTTTTCTCCGGTTTGCTCGCTTAGGATTGTTGAGGCGAATGTGCAAAAGGCAGACGAGGTAGTGTGGAGGGGAAGATAAGGCGGTCGGATGGCTCACTGTCCACTCTGGGCTGTGGATTTACTGCACTCAAGGTGAGCCTGATAAATCAGAGAAGGAGGACAGGGGGGCAGAAAAAGATATAGATGCCAGACTTGCCTGTGAACACAGAAGCATGACGAGCTCCACCACGGAGCTGCTGGACTTCATACACACCAGGCCTGGAGGAATAAGAAGAAGGAAAAGTCAGTGAAAAAAATGGAAATTTCACAATACATGTAGGCTTATATTTGATACCGGTAAAACAAAAAAAACAAATGACATCAATACCTTTTTTTTGATACCTGAGGAACAAAATTGAAAATCTTAGGCATTTAATATTGGGTAATATTTTGTTTTCATTACCAAAAATTGCAGGCAAACTCCTGCACACTTATTCAATTGCACAAGACGTTGGCAACGTTTAAAAACATTGCCCACATGTTTGTGCAAATAGGACAGTGCTGCCTCTTTCGCTAGTGGAAGATTTGGGTTAAAAAAAACATGGCTGAAGATCTGTAATTTTTTTTATAAAGCTTTGGTACTCAATGGTTCTATTGATCATTTAAATAACAAAAATTGTGAAATTTTATAACATGTGGCATCAAAAAGTACTGAATATTATCACAATTTGACAAAAAAAAAAAAAAAATGTATTTCCTTAGTACTTGTGGAAATAAGTATGTGCTACACACACCGAAACACACAAAGATGACCTAACCCTGAGCCATCTGCAAGGCACAGATAGTATTGATGGCCCTAATGAGCCGACATGATGTTACTGTAAACTAATACATATTTGGGCCTTGTATTACAGGCCTGACTTGGCCAGCATATGTCCCATTGATCCCCTCATGGCGAGCCCTGGGCTTTTAGAGGGCAGGGGGCCACTAAAGTGTCCAGAGTCTGCTGCACAGACGGGAAGACGGCGGAGTAGCCTTTGGTCTTTTACCGTTGCTCTTCATATGACACATGCACCATCACACATTCATGCAAGGAGAGACACACACACACACACACACACCTCCCCCTGCCTTTTCGTCAGGCCCCCATGCAGCTATCAATCAACTTTCCATTTTGTTTGGTGGCAGCAGACATCCCAAACACTGCTATTAGTGGCCTGGCCTCTGACCCGGACCCCTAGAAACCTTCACCACGACTAGCAGCTCTTGGCTCATCGCACACTCATCACAGTATTAGATGCACAACAGCATGAAGATGATATTGCATTTTCATGAGGGGAACAATTAAGTAGACGCATCATTCTTCAGGGTCTGCGACGATGCAGCGAGTACATGTGTAACCTTTTTTCAAAAAACTGGATCTTGACCGGGTCTTACTTGTGCCCTCAATAAGGAGCTCTTGTCCATGGCTGCCAAGGAGAGTCCGAGAAAGAAAGGGCGCAAAGTCCACAAAGATCTCCCTCAGTAGAGGAGCAGCCTTCTCCAGAGCATGCTCCAGACGCTCTGAGATACTGGAGATGTATTCAAACAACACAAAAACACAAAACAGTGAGTGCACTTGGCAGCAACTTTGAAATATATCAAGAAATATCAACAATAGGTGCATAAAACTGGCTGTTTTCATATTATGTTTATAAAAAGCTGACTCTGTATGCTTGGGTGTATGCATGTGTGTGAGAGAGAGAGAGAGAGATGGAGAAAAGAAGATGAATCACCTCATATTGGGGGCTGTGTTCTGGGTCACAGGGGAGAGTGGGGGGACAGATGGCAGGCTAGCGCTGGCTGGAACCTGGCCGCCTGCTGCAGGGAGAAACCAAAGAACTCTGTTATTAGTCTGGATGTTGGACAGGAATAAGACGCTACACACACACACACACACACACACAAACTCACACACACACACACACACGCACACAGACACACACACAGCAATACATTATACGAGCAGGGTAGCACCATAAACCTGTGTGGAAACATACCTCTTATGAAATAATACAATGGTCTTCATTCAAATGTATAGAACGGGGGGAATTTATGGTCAAACGGGGCAAGTGGGGGTATAATTTTATGGTTAGATAGTGGTATGATGCAGTCAGTGCACAATACATCTTCCTTATCAATTTACAATTCAGAGGTTTTCAAGATGGAAACCTTTAAATGTTGCACTGAAAGACTGATAATGTTTCAGCTGCTGTCATACTTAAATAATGAGATCATTTTTTTTTTAAAGTTCAGCCATAAATCAAAAACTTGCATAGTATTAAATATTTCGTTTTGAATTGGTTTTAAGCCTGTATGAATGTTAAATAAATACAATTTAAAAAAACTTTTTTTTACGAACTGTTTTCACTCATTAAGTCATTACATTCCATTTTACCCCTCTGGGTTGTTTTTTGTGACCGTTTCATTATACAACTAAAAGGTGCTTTACGACTTCATTCAAAAGACAAGGTACAAAGTCCGTGTTTGATTGATCTGGCAGTAAATTCACTTCCCTGTGGCTCATAAATAAGCTAATGCCCAGCTGAATATGGAGGAGGGGATTCCTCTGGTGTTTCAGTGGGCTTGTTTTTCCAGCCGGGACAGTCTCCGAGCAGGGATAACTCTTTAGGAATGACAGACAGTGCAATGTGGGCTGGAATGTGTGTGCATATGTGTGTGCGTGTGTAAGGTGTTAAGCAGCGCCATGTGGGCCTGGTGAGAGTCTCCCTCTCGAGCTGAAGTAGCTCCTTCAAACAAAGAGGAGTAAATGGACGTCTCCATTAGTCCTCCCACTGCCCCACTAAAAACACACGCGCGCTCACAAAGGGTATTTACTCAACTCCGCTAACTGACACGCAGCACCATTTTGCTAACAGCTTTAACAGATATTATTCACAAGCAGGTATTCACATATACACTCTCTAACCTGATTTTACAACTAATGCACAATCTCCTTAAAACACACAAATGACATCCTCATTTTACTCCCTCCTCTCTTAAACTCACATACCATAGACCCTCCTACTCCATCAATCACATTCACACATGCAGAAAGGTGACAAAGGATCCCTCCTATCATGATTTACTGTCCCTGCTCAATGAGAGTTGCTTTGCTCGTAAAGTTGCAATAAAATGGTATTACTTCAATATGTTATTTTATTGATACACCTTAATTCATCCTGGTATCTCCAATTACCCAAGTATAATATTTCTAATAGTAGGAAAAGAAAATAATTTTTCCATCAGCATCTCCACAAGCAATCATCATTATTTAGTATATTTTTTATTGTAAAGTATTTTACCTTTATAAACTCTTACCTCAAAGCCAAAATTATTGCTGCTCTAGGAGTTTCTGTTAAATGAGTGCATCTCTGCTACTGGAAAGATGTCTCCTTAAGCCTTTGATAACTGGATTGTATTGTACAAGTTCAGCAAAATGATTGTGCCGAACACACAGAGGAGCAAAAGCTCTCAATAAATATAGATGTTGTCATAGCAAGCTCACACAGGCAAAGACTAACATGCTCCCTCACAAACAATGCCCTTCTTATATTAAAGCTTTTCTGTCTCTGTGCAAGTGTACGCGCTTGTGTGTGCGCGTGAGAGTGTGTGTCTGTGTGTGTGTGCGTGCGTGCGTGTGTGTACACACTTGCTGCAGACTCTGCAGAGGTGCTCTGGGAGGCATCTCCAGAAGATACCACAGCTACGCTGTCGATAGGTGTCCCGCCAGACACAGAAGCCGCAGCGGTTGCTGGGACGGGAGTGGGAGCGGAAGTGCCTGGAGACGGTGTCATGCCCGCTTTCTTGGGTGCAACGATGACACTTCTGTAGAGACACAAAATAAATGATTACCGGTAATTTAATTGTAAGAATGCACGTTAAAAAAAAACAAGCATGTCAGAAATTCCATTTTTTTGGAGCAAAAGAATCATGTTGCCAAAACCAAGCCTGTATCTGAGGGACTAACTCATTAGTAATAAGACTATTAATGATTTTCTTTACCACACAGTCCTTATTTCATAATAATAAATCAGACTTTTAAAGAAAAAAAGTCCTCTTGATTGTTGATACAGTCTTAAACATTTTATTTTGTGTTGTTTATTTCTACACAAGGCTCATGTTTTTCACTGCCACAGCACATGATAAAATGATCTGCAATGAAAAGCAAAACATCTGCAATAAAGAGAAAATATTCATCAAACTGCTGTTTTCCCTGCAGGAAATACAATCTAAATGTTTCGAAGGTTCCTAATTTCAATATTTAGATTTAAAACAATCAGATTAAGGACAATACCTTTCAATGTGTGATTCAGGATTTTATATCAAGCCCTAGCACATAGGTCTAAGTTTAGCTTTCTGCAACCATTGACAGCTAATCTTGAATTTCTTAACACAGCTATCTGCGCATGCATTGATAAAACTGCTCCTTCAGATGTCCATCCAGCACAGTTAACAGGAAGCGTTTCTAGTGGTGATGTGGTACAACTGAGTGGAGTTCAATTCCCGTCCCGTAAACAGCAGATGGGAGGAGAGCAGCATGCAGATAAGCTGTCAGTTAAAGCCTGGACACTGACAGACCACTGGCCATATCAAAGAGAGCCTGGCCCTGCTTATCAGTGCTGACACAGGGGGGAGCGGGGGGGGGGGCTAATCATTGGCTACTGCTACCTCTCAGAAACACAAACCTCGGCGGGATTACCAAGATATGCACGCATACATGAGATGAACAAGATCGGATATAAAAACTACAGACAACAGCGCTAACACATTCCTGCATGAATCAGTTGTGTATGCATGCTTTTCTGGAACACACACAAACACGAGAGGATAGTCGGGTCTGGATCCCTGTGGTGCAGACAGATACCTGGCTGCAGTATCAAAGGCTGTTCTCAGCTGATTTAAGGCAGCTGATCAGATCTATTAAAAGTTACTGTGAATGTTAAACCTCCGACAGTTGACCTTTGCTTCGTGGGGTCTTTGATTTCAGAAAAAAAAAAAAAAAGAAGAACCTGCGCACAGAGCCAAGGGGCCTGACAGGCGTGTTTAAAACACACACTGAGAGGGGCCAGGAGTGACACATCAAACTGAAGTTGTGATAGAACAGAAAGTAATCAGTGTAGATTGCCAGGCAGGGTGACTTTTTTTTTTTTTGGCTCTGATAGTTCTGGATGGTGGTATCAGAGAAACGAGGGCGGTGCTGATGTGAAGCACCCTAAGTGTCAACAGCCGGGGAGAGAGATGAGGAGACTCCTGCTGTGTGGAGGAAGGGAGTGTGTGTGTGTGGCTATAAATATTTGAATATGTGCATATGAATGTACAAATAAATGCACGAGTGTGCCAGTGAACATGTCTGTCTATGTGTTTGGCCTTCCATCTGTTCCACAGCAAAGGTCCAGTGAATTATTCAGCAGGTCATTAGCCACACTTATCATGAGTGGGCTGCCCCAGTCGATTAATCAGCCGTCAGCGGCCCCACTCAACCCACAAACAGGAGCCCTGGGTTGAGTGTGTGTGTGTGTGTGTGTGTGTGTGTGTGTGTGTGTGTGTGTGTGTGTGTGTGTCTTTTTGTGTCTGCTGAATTATTTAAAGGCTTTAACCTACAATGGATAAGTGCAGTAAACACTGTGATTCCAGTAATCTCAGCTATTTCAGGTAAAACAAGTGTGAGAATCAGAAGTGTCTTTGTGTGTGCGTGTAAAAATATCATTCTCAAGAGGGTTAAACTCAGACCTCGATGTGAGGGAGGGGAGTGTACACCCCAGAAGAGCTTTGATCTCCTGCGTCAGCCTTGTTTAACACAACGCTGTGCACTGAATGTATAAATGTGAATCGCTGACCGTCCACGCAGATACACTGTCATAAACGTGCTCCTTTCAAATCAGCTCTAATAAAGTCCACTGCGTCTGAAGTTTCTCAAGCTCTGATTGGACTATGATGACTGGTCTTGGAGGGGCATGACCTTGATGACATCGGTGATTAATGAGCGTGGAGCAACTTGGACCTGAGGGCTTCAGTGAAGGAGAAAAGAAGGATGTCTTTTCATTTTTAAGCGTGTTTGGAAGTGTGTGCGCAAATAGGACATTGTACTGGCAAAATAACATATTGTATTCATGATGTTTGCAAATAAATCAACGATTTGATGATGGAGGGGGCACTGAATGAAAGTGACATCATTTAAGACATTAAGTTTGTCAAGTCAGACATCATAAAGCAGTGTTTGTCTTGCAAAATGTGAGACATACAGTGGAGGTAATAACATCTGTTTTTCTGACTTAAAGTCTTAATTTTCTTACTTTGTTGGTATGTATATCTTTAAAGGGTCTAGGAAAGTAGTACTCAAAATAGAAAAGTGAATGCTTTAAGTTGTTTAATAGTCTGATTCTTTCACCGTGATTTGGTTACCAGCTGGTATCAGGGCTGAACATCTTTTATGTGCCACTATGACATTAAAGTATCCCTCTTATATGATTGAATGATTGATTGAATGATTGATTGAATGATTGACTGATTGATTGATCATCCACATAATAACATCTAAAGAGGCTCTTTTAACAGTCTGAACAAAGTTAAGTTATTTAGTTAATTGAAAAAATTTATAAAGGATATAAACAGCTGATATACTCTATCTCCGTAACACTAAAACAAATGCATGATTTTTTTTCAAAACATCAACAGGTTACCATTAGCAGCTTGCCATTTTGGGGCAGGATCACCAAAAGGTGCATAAAAACTTTTGTTTATCCTCCTCTGCATTCACAGTTCATGAATACTTCATCCACAGAAGCTCGCGTTTATGCACTGGGATTAGAAGAGGGAGGGAAACAGCCTTCACTCTTCCAGTTGTGTTTGTGTCTGACATGCTCAGCCCTCTTCCTAAGCAGCCCATTAACAACACTTCAACATCAACACAACTCATCTGTACATCAAGTCTCACATGCATGTCGACTCTGCTGCCAGGAATGCAAACAACTGCACCATGTATATCCCAAAGTCTAACACACACATATTCTGCTGAACCATGCAGCCTAAATCACCGGCTTGTACAATGACACTGTTTAGTTCTGGTTAGTGTCAGCAAATATTTGCAGACTGGCTGTCATAACAGGGGCACGGCTGAGAAATGGATGGGAGAAATCCAGCAGGTCCCAACTGGCAAATAAATCAGAGGGGATACTTCACCCCCTGACCACAAGCTCCCCAGTTTTTTTTTTTTTTTTTTTATCATCTGGGAGATCCCAGCTTCTTTCATATAACTGGTCTCATAAATTCAGCCCTCTGGGTAAGTGAAAAAGTTGCCATGTTTTGGCAGGAGACGTCAGTGTAGAATGTCAGCTCTGGCTTGTACTGGTGTCAATGGGAGACTTACTGGTTAGTGGGAGATGCTGAGCAGTGATTTAAGTCACTACAACATGATAATAAACATGTCTAAATGCATGGAAGGTAGAATTGTTGAGGGTAAGGACTGGAGACAGCAAGCTGATAAAGAGTGGTCAACTTAGATAAGAGAATAAATAAAGGATTAAAGCGGGTGAATGATATGGATAAGAGAGCTGATCTGACTGAGAGGCATAACAATAATCCCTCAGCTCAGGCAGAGAGGTCTGCAGCAGAGCAGAGGAGATCTAGAAGAAGAAACAAATGTGTGTGCATGCATTAACTCTGAAAATATCAAGTGAATGTATCACTAAGTAGTCTTCAAATTGACATTAACTTAGGATGAGTATTTAACTTATTAAAATAATGATCAAACTAAAATGACAGCTGGATCAGGATCTACCATACAGTACTTAAACTGAGCTTCATTGTCCGAATTTTCTATACATTTCCAGAATGAAAATATATTTTTTCTCCAGATGACAATATAAGTTTTACAAGACTTACAATGTTTTGAGTGGAAATTAGCTCGACATTTACTAGTAGGACACTCCAGTATGTTGTCCTTGTACCTAAAATATATACGTACATAAGATAGGGGCTTATAGAGAAAGCTGATTATGTTAAACTCAATTATCAAATCAAATCAAGTTCAGCCTGTGTATGCAAAGCCTGATATTGCTTTCCCATGTCTGTTAGAAACTGTTGTTGTTGTCCAAATACTCTTGGACACAGTCATGAGCTGCATCTTTACATCGGTGACATGTTCCTGTCTTACCATGAACAAAAACCGAGCATGAATACTTAATTGTCAAACCTCAGTTTATTCCCTGACAATTCACTTCCTAAGAACTAGAGTGTTCAGCTGTTTGAGTACATTTAATCAGCCTTTATTTAAATATTCAAGTATTTATTTGGGGCCTTATCTTCTCTAAGAACCAATGAGCATAGGTTCCAAAGCTAAAGACGGGGTGTGGGAGGCTGAAATCTTTTGATCAGTTATTTTATTTTTTTCCAGGGGATGTGTATTTTAACAAAAAAACAAACAAATAGAATTTAACCATGCTGCTGCTTCAACTGATAGTAATATGATTATGATAATGTATTTTATTTCCTCTTAAAAAGAATGTCCTCTTTCACAAAGAAAGATGTTTGCCGTATGCTCTGGGTCTGTACGCCCAGCATAAAGAGGCTCCCATAGGCAGCGAGCTGTTAGTCTATGTTCTCCAGCTCTCCTGACGTCCTCTCTCTTCCTACAGAGTGTGCTCAGCGGACAGGAGCCAGTCTAATCCCCCTGATATGAGGAGCGCCCTGAGACCTGACAAAGCATTCCTCAGATAAAGACACGCGATCACAGAGATGCCGTGGAATTCCCACAGTTGGGGGGCAGGCAGAGCGACTGAGTGTGTTTGTGAGAGGCAGAAAAAAAAAAAAGGGGAGAAATATTTTCTTCAGTACATGAGAACTTTGACTTGACATCACCCCCATGGAGACCTCTCTCCACTCAATTCTCCCATCGCTTTCTTTCTCTCCCCCTGAGTGTCTCCCACCCTCTTCTTCCTCTGCTGTCGTTTGAACGTCTGTCTCGGAATCAGCGCTCCAAATGCAAACCAGACCGGTGACCATCCTCTCTCACCTGGGCCAGTCTGTGGCTCCAGTACCCCGTTTGCTTTTGAAGCCTAACTCCTGACTGTTCACCCCCTGCACCTCCAGGGTTAATGCAAATTCTGCAGCTTTTATGTCTGAAATCGGGAGATAACACATTGGATGTTAGACAATGAGTGACATGCAGCAGGAGAGAGATGAAAAAGAAAGTAGTTAAATATCAGTGACACAGTGAAAAGAAACAGCTTCCTGCCAGCTATGTCTTTTGGTCTCTTCTTCCCAGACAGGGCTCCTGTTTTCCTCAAGACACGTTCTTTGTAATGCAGTTTTCTTGGGATGAGGGCATACATCAACAGCTAAAGGAAAAAAAACAATGCAAAGGGGGAACGAGTCGGAGGCTAAGATTCCCCCCCGTTCAAAGGGAGTTTTGTTACAGAATGTTTTTCAAGATCCACCAAAGGCCTCCTCTGAGGATACCAAGCTGACATGTCTTCAAGGTCTGACATTTTTAAATGTTCCCTTGCAGTTATGTTGGGATAATATGTATGAAACTGTAAAACTATGAAGCTTGAGAATCACAGGCGTATAAACACCATGTGGGCTCTTGAGAAAGTGATGGAGCTGTCATGGAGCTGCTCTCATGTCGACTAAGGGAGGATTTTTTACCCAGATTTTTCCCACAATCGTGCAGAGCAAAACCATATGCTCTACTATAAATAGAATAAGAAAATACTGTATATATATATATCGACTTGTGTTTAACCCCGAGTCCTCACCTATCAAATGAGCTGATCTGCGGCAAATCTCTGGACGCGTCGCCTGCAACTCCAAGAAAAGCAGGTGGCAGCAGACCTGGGTCCACCATGAGGTCATCGCCTTGAGAGCTCACAAGGCTGCGCAGGATGTCCTTCACGTTCTTGCCTTTTGCATCAGCGGGCAGAGAAGGTCTGACCTCAGAGGAAAGCGTGGACAAGGCCTCAGAGATGGCGTCCGGGCCGTGAGTCACGCCGGAGGATGAAAGGTCTGCCTCGCTAGCGGCGGTCGAGGTGTGGTCATCACCGATACCGGAATCATACCGCCGGAGAGAGACGCCGTTCTCCACTTCTAGACCTCCAGAAATGGCGCCGCTATCTAAGAGGAAATAAGACAAAAAGAAAAAAATGAGAGGAATGAAGACACGCCTTATAAACTATGAGTCATAAGGTTCTTTATATCTAGAAACCATACAATAATAAACCATACAAATTTAATTTCTGCTGCACTAAATGCTGTTCATGTCTTCAGTCTTTCTTAAATCTTTGCCTTTTTTCCCCTCATACTTTGGTTTAATGCTGTGTAGAGCAAAACTACATGTACTTAACATTCTCAAAAGAAATAACTTTTAAAAATAAGGTCGGGTCAAGATGAAAAGAGATTTTAAATACACTAAACAAGGCTTTTTATTCAGAGGAGAAAGCAGGAAGACATTAGAAACAGGTGGATTATACAGCATTGTTACCTTCCATTAAGATAAATATCTCCTGCTTTTACTGACTGACTATCGTTGCTTTCTTTGTATGGTCTTCAGTGATGAGTACTTTATCCATCCATAATTCAGTGCACAGCTTCTGTGATCTTCTTTTTTGTTTTTTTATTCTGTGGTTTTTCCTGTCTGGGTGGGTTAGGTTTGACAAATTCTCCCTGTTACTAGTATCTTATCATTATAACCATCAATAAAGAAGACCTTGGATAAGAAAATAAATATTTCAGACGGTTGTATTCTTTGAAACAGCTGTGTACCTGTGCTTCTCGAAGACTGGGATCTTTGAGGGTGTTTCTTGTCGTTGTGCGGCTCCAGGATGTCGCGGTACTTTGACACCATGAGCACGGAGATGAAGTAGACAACAGCGAGAGCCAGAAACTGGGCCTGCTTACTGTCCTCCTGAAACAAACAACAAACACTAAACGATCTCTGTAGTTGTGTCCTTCAGAGAGCAGTAAAAAAGTAAGAAGTTCTAGGAGCATTTTTAAGAGTTGTGCAATGTTTGTATGTTACATGAATGTGTTTTCTGTATAATTTACAATATCCCTGAAGACGACGGCCCTGAGGCGGTTGATGTCCATGTCCTGAAGGAGTCGGTCCAGGTCTCTGATTGGTGACATTCCACCTGTCACAGCATCCACAGGACTCTGCATGCATGTGTGAAAATCAAACAATTACCACCGGAAATCTAGTGTTGCTTCCGACTGAAATGCAAAGCAACACATGTATTTTTACACCAATAAGGACGTTTATTAATCTATGAGCACGTCCTGGAGCAGAGTCAGGTTTCACAGCTTAGGGAAGCCATCCCTCCTGGGATCATGTCCTTAACATAATGGCTTTTATATGGAGCCACTGCATTATAAATGAGCGTTAACACCCGGTTCAGGGAAGAACAACATGACTTTACTGGAAGACACTGTATCAAATCCAAGGGCCAATGACAAAAGGCCGTGTCTAGAGTCACAAATATCAGCCAGTGTGGTAATACAATAAGATGTGAGCTAATGCAATAACACTTGGTTGTTGGTAAGCAGGACGAAGGACACAGCTCTCCCTGGTTTGCTTTGAAGTAATAGACAAGGGCAAAGGAAGATGTGGCTAAAAAAAGAGCAACCTGCATAAGAGGAGGAAATTGAAGTACTGGCCATTTTTGAGAGAAATAAAACATTTAAACAGGAGAAAATAAAACAGAAGAAGGAGTTAAGGAAAATAAAATGAGGTGGTTTGTGATACTTGCCTGTGCAGATGCAGAATTGGGCATGGCTGTACAGCTGTGTGCTGAGCCATACTTAAACTGGGCTTGTTGACACTCGAGACAGTTCCTCACAGCCATAGCACACACTGAGGAGGATCAGAGAGAGACACATTAAATGATCGTGTATAAAATAAAAAGGTCTTTATATATAAATATCTAGCAGCATAATGTCGAGGACTCTCAAAGGAGAAGGCATCTAAAGCAAAATGGGGGTAAAAACGAACATTACTGTGAGAATTCAGCTCACAACCCGAGGAAACCACAGCAAGAGGAGCTGAGAGAGACAAAAAAAAAAAAGAAGAAGAAAAAGTGGGGCCATGTCAAGGTCAGTGCACTGGCCAACCCTGGCAGCACCGCTCACTCTTCCCTGCTCCACCTCTACCCCTCAAGGTCACAGTGCAAGGGTGCGCTCCTGAATCACACCCACTGTGTGCAGGTCCCATAACAAATGACACTGCCCGGTTGTGTACATGCTGAGTAGGCAGCAAGATGAGTTCTTTGTCACCAAAAAGAAAAAAGAAAAAAAAGGACAACAGAAATCTGTACGGCAACTTTGGGTTTGTTTAAAACTGGCACACTTATCCATTTGTAATCTAATGTACAGCCTCTCTGTGGGACCCCCCCTTCCACCGTATCCCTGACAACTGACAAATGTGAACTCTGAGCCATTTAGATTACGAAAGAGGGAATTATTCTGTCTGAAAATGGGCTCGCTTTTTCCATTAGGACTACTCTTTCATACAACCATTTATAAAAAACGAGAGGGGGGGGGACGGAGTGCTGGAGATGCTAAAACCTTGTTAAAGTCTTCCAAAATCAGATTAGGTTGAAGCAATGGGGAGCGCATACCTCATCAAATATTCATTTCATAACGGCTGCTTTCTAGAACAGGACCTGTAGTACGGTGGCATCACTTTCCTGCAAAACCCCAACATTAGCAGAGGTAGTTGGATAATATCTGGAGGATTGGGGGGGGGGCTTTTAGGGAAACAAGTTAGCATTTTGAAAGCCCTTTTGTTCCTAACATACACTGCAATGAGTATTTAAAAGCAAAAACGGATACCTGGGTATGCATTGTTACTCATATGGAGCCTGCCATGAAGAAATTATTGAAATCAGTGTAGAAAGTATTGCTGCACTTCCACGCCGAGTGTGTGTATGCTGTCTTGATCCATGTTTGCAGAAAAGGTGCACCACATAAAATAAATAATGTAAGAATTTCAGTATCTTTTATTCAGCTGGAGCATGGCTTGGCTTTTGATGCTGTCAGAGGAAACAGTAATAGCCTGGAACAGAAGGCTGGGGAAAAAAAGGCCTCAGGCTACGGTGCACTTCAGTACAGCCAAGGCCATTATGCAGAGCTCACTATATCATGATAGCAGCCATTTTAGAGTGTTGCCATGCAGTGGGGTTATAATAACAAGATAAGAGAACGCTGATACGAGCAGAGTGAAGGAGGCGAGGGAATGAAAGGCGGCGGCTGGAGAAGCAGAGGAAGTGGGCAGGAGAGAAGGAGGGAATACAGGAGGGAGGGTCAAAAAGGCTACAGGGAGCCATGACTGAGGCTAACATGAGCTGATATGAGCTGGATCAATGAACAGGGGAGGACAGAAGAGTTGGTAAAAGGAGCAGATAAAAGATGGAATTCAGAGAAGAGTCACAGATGAGTAGAAATAAATGCAGGTTTCAAGAAATAAAATAAAAGGACCAACAAGGGACATAATGGATGAGTTGATATGAAAGAGCTTTGTAAGGAAATCTTACTTTAAAAAAAAAAAAAAAAAAAAATCAGCAAAAAGGAAGGAATCAAGTGTGCATACCAAGGCGAAGGCACTGCCGGAGGATGCCTCCTGATGACATGTTTTTCTCTGCTTCTATCTCAGTGAAGTTCAGCGAGCTGGCAAAAGATGAGAACATCCACCAGGTTGATGAGGCGCTGCAAGAAGGTGATGGAGGCTTCAATTGCCAAGCCCTGGGATGCTTCAATGTTCTCCAGTTCATGCTGGGAGTAGAGAAGAGGAAACATTAGACAGAAATGACTTTGACAAGTAATCAAAGAAGTGAAACTAGTTTATCTTATTTCTATGAATTCATTGCTGTGCGAGCACATACAACATATTCCATGTTAGAGGCTATTAGCTATACAGAAGTACTGTAAGTAAGTAGAAGTATGTCTGGCCTGTGTCTTAAAATTTGAACGACATGAAAACAAAAACTCTCTAAATTAAATATGAAGTAGGTCATGGTCACATTTACTGTACAGGAGTAAAGGTAACCTTTACATTTATTGTGCACACTAGGAAAACTCTCAGGGACTGCTCAAAACAATTGATCATATTGATGTGGGTTTTGGTTAAGGGAGATTACCATACAAAATATGTTCCTATTATTAACATAAAAAATGTCATATCAGGACAGAGCTACACATGAAACTATCAGTGTGAATGTAGAAATCTGTTTCATTAATACAAAATCAAAGATGTCGCTCATGTTAAAATATATCTTAAATTTGGATTGAATGCATCAAATATTTAAATGATGGTTGTAAACCGTGTAATAGCTACTCTTATAAAAACAAATCCTGAGAGGGGTGCATTTAAAATAAGAATGTTACCACCTTAAATGTCTAATTACACAAAAGAGATTTAGTTACTATCAGTGTGAAATTTGGTTACAGAACATCTGAATGACAATAAAATTGTACATCAATCAGTTTCTTAAAGAGGCCAGTGAAGTGAAAGAATCACATAAGAGAGCCTCGATCACTAAACCCAGACAACACAACAACAACCTAACAATGTTACGAGGCAGCAAACTGCCGGCTAATGTGATTGGGAAAGGTCAATGTGGATGAATAACTTCCTTGGATTAGAGCCATCCAACTATAAGTATACACAGTCATGGTTAAGTACACACACACATACACACACACATACACACACACGCACACAAGGACACTCACAGAGGAGGAGGTGGCAGCAGAGAGCAGAGGTAAAATGCCTCCGCAAGCCATGATGAGGTTGTCCACCACCTGGGAGATGAGGTGTATGCTGTTGTGGACAAACACCACATTCTCACTGCTGTTCACAAAGTCCAAGATCGTCTTTGTGGAGTGACTGAGAGGAAGAAAAAGAAGAAACCTCTTAGAAATAGGAGCAACAAATCAAACAATTTAAAGTGAAACATGTCTTGGTGCTCAAAATAAAATGGTGGCATTAAAACAGAGCAGACTTTTCACAACTCCGCTCATCATTTATCAGTATTTGTCGTTACATGCTAATATTCGAGGATAAAAATGCCATATCTTTACATGTAACATATTAGGATATTTCAATATATTTAGTATTTTTAATATCTTACCTCTGCTTCATTTCAAATGTCTTTGTTTGGTTTGGATCTTGTGTGGATGTTGGGTGTCATATTTTTCTTTTAATGCTCTTAGTATCTTACATTTTTCTCTTTTAACTCGGTAAAGCAATTTGAATTGCTTTATGTATGAATGCTCTATAAATAAACTCCCATGAATAAAGCATGAATTATAAAACATCCTGCAGGACTTGATTTTGAGTTTAATGTTATCTGTAGTACGGTAAAGATTGTGGGTACTGTAATTTATTGGCAATATATGTTTTTGTCTTATAATGAGTAAAAAAAACGTAGTTTTAAAGCGTGGCACATAAATAATTCTTATATTAGGTTTTTCCTGAGCACACAGACAAGATGAAAGCGATAATCAGGGAAACTGTTAAATTTCCCATTTGCAAAACAAAGACTTTAGAACTCTTTCTGACACGTTCATTACTCGTTTAAGAGATTAAATGTCCGATAAATCTCTTTTCCATTAATCAATTAGGAAAATGATTGTTCGCTAAATGGTTCGTAAAAAGTGGTAGAGTCAGCGCATTGTTGACCTCACCTCCTCCACATCTGAACATCTGTTTCTATGGAGAAGAGCAGGTCAGTCAGGAGGCGTTGGTGCATGTGGGACCAGCGGAACTCTGGGATACGAAACATGGTGGATCGAGGTGCTGAAGAGCTGCTCTCTCTCTGAGGGCCTGAAGAGCCTCCCGCTGCTGCCGGCTGGCCTTGGCTTGTCTCCTAAAAAAGGGAAATGAGTAAGGGATAACGGCTGAAACTGAAAGTAATTTATTCCAAACAAGATTGTTAAGAAAAGGTCGAAATGAGCAAACAACAGAAGAAGAAGAAAAAAAAAGAAACTTACTGTTGTAGAGGTCTCCTTCAATTCAAGTCTCTCCGTGTCTAAGGCCACGTTTGACACGTCAAGTCGGGCAATTTTGATCTCTTTGGTCTTGTTGACCGAGTCTGAGCTCCTCTGGGTGCCGGAGCTGGAGGGTGCATTGCTGCCGTCTGTAGGAATGGACTGGGTTTCTTCTTCATTGGTGTCTGTGGTTCCTGAAGGTTGACTAGGCGAGGTGGAGTCTGACACTGTTGTAACCTCCTGTGCTGTAGAGGGCAGTGTGGTATCTGAGGGCTGTGGGTCTGCCGTTTCAGTTGTGGAAGACTCTTCAGCTTTAACTTCTTCCTTTGCTGGTTCTGTCATACTTTGATCAGGTGTTTCAGCTAAAGTAGACACCTGCTTTTCTTCAGTTTTACTTCCTTCAATGACTTCTTGAATGCTAACCTCCTGTTTCTCATCTTTTTCTTCTTCTGTCGTTATCTCCTGTCCTCCCTTATCCTCTTTCTTCCCTTCATCATCTTCATGTTTTTCCTTCTCCTTCGTTCCTGTCTCCCCTTCTTCGCCAGCAGCAGCAGAAGCATAAGAAGACTCCTCTTGGCTATCATCAGCATCACTTGGTTGGCTCTGGTTACTAACAGACGACACTTCAACCTGATCTTCTGGAAGGATGGAGGCTCCGACCTGCTCACTGTTCTCTTCACAGGCTGCAGTCTTAGTTGGTGTTTGGTGGGTGTTATCTTCTTGTTCTGAAATCACTGGTACTTCTGTATCTGTTTCATTCAAAGAGTCTTCCGTCATAGAGTTTAATGATTCCCCCTCATTGGATTCACTCTCAGGTTTTTCATCATTTGTTACAGGCGTTTGAGCATCAACTCTCGCAGATGATGCAGCAGAGTCCTCAACCACTTCTGTTGACTTCACGTCATCAGTTTCTTCCTGGTAGCTTCCTGTTGTCAGAAGCTTTTCTGTGTGCTCATCTGAAGCCTCAGTCACAGATTCCTCCTTGCTGGTCTCTCCACTCTGTTCATCTTGATTATTTATCTGTGTCACAGAGGCTTCAGTCTTCTTCTCAATGCCTGAGCTACCTTTGGAAGACTCTTCTTCCTCTTCAGCCCTGGCAAGGATGTTGGACACAGTGATGGATGCCTGTCCCTGTTCACTTGTAGCATCCAGTGGGCTGGACGTGATGGTGGAACCAGATGCTAAGTCAGGGGACTTCTGGGAAGTCTCGTCCACTGTGAGCTCAATGACAGTAGAAGGGGGAGTCTCCTCCGCAGGCGGCCCGTTTTCACACTCAGTGGTCTCCGAGCTCTGGCTGACACCAGAAATGGTTCTCAGAGAGCCCGCGGACTCCTGACGCTGGTACTGACTGAACATACGAGACAGATTCTCTTTATGTTGCTCAAAGGTGACCTGGAAACACAGGAGAACATCTGTTAAAATGTATGAAACATATAGTCTTGAAAACACTGATTCTACTTGTGGGTAATGTTTGAAACTGCTTTGTTTCAAAATGACCCCGAACAGCTCTGAATCTTCTTGTTAGCATGACAGAGACAATAAATCTGAGCATTAAGATTTTTCTATAAGGAATAAGAATGTGTTGAAATTACACCTCAGAACAGATGGGCTTTCAAAAACTAATGCAAAACAATCATCATGCTAGTTGTTTTTGAAAAATGGTTGAGAAGAGGTCTAGGGCGGCAGTAGCTCAGTCTGTAGGGACTTGGGTTGGGAACCGGAGGGTCACTGGTTCAAGTCCCAGTGCGGACCAAATATGGAAATTGGTCTGGTAGCTGGAGAGGTGCCAGATCACCTCCTGAGCACTGCCGAGGTGCCCCTTGAGCAAGGCACCGACCCCCCTCCCCACCATCAGCTCAGGAGCGCCCGCTGTGGTCCGCTCCGTCACTCTGTCTTCTCTCCATTAGTGCATGTCCATAGGATCCTGTTTCTGCATGTGTGTGTTCATGACTTACAGAGTGTAAAAACTGAAATTTCCCCTTGCAATCGATAAAAGTAAATCTTAATCTTAATCTAGGACGGACTGACCCAATTTCACCTGGTTTTCCACCAAATTTCAATGTTGAAATCACTCATTCAATCATTTGGTGCTCACTGGGGAAACTTTGATTTTTTTTAAATGTTACAATGACTTTTGACCTTGCAATACTGCATACGTTTCTGAATAGCTGAAATCTGAGAACAAGTAATATTACTATAAATTACAAGTCAGCTAAATTGAGTAGTCAGACTTTCAAATCTGTCACCAATGGCTTTTGTTGTACCTTAATCTATTACAAAACAACAATCCCTGCATTCAAATGGTGTTGAATTAATCACTGAAATGCTTTTATCAAAGAAATCCATCCTCTGTCCAACTGATATCCATTGGTGTAACTTTCCAGCCTTTCAATAATCTCTCCCTGCATTCTCCACAATGCCCTTACATACTTTTTCACCTAAAAGCATCATATTGTCAAAGTAAGATATTCCCTAAATTGTCTTGACTGCTAACCGTTTACTTTATATAACCACTGGGGCCAGCTGTGGCTAACTTCAGTACATTTAAAACTTTTCCTTCCTCTTATGTGCAGCAGCCTACGGCCTATTAACCTCCATCAGTCTTCTTACATCTGATACGAGGGATCAGACTGCTAGTCTATAACGACAATGCTCTGCTGTGGCATTTGAGGAAGAGCCCATCCATGTAAGCAGTCATAGATTAGCAGCAGATACTATTAGTGTGTGTCTGCTAGCTGTGCTGAGTGCGTGTCCAGCATTGGCAAATCCTCCCACGCCTAATTTAAGACCCTGCATTAATCACTGTGCTTGGAGGACAGAAAGTCAAAGATGGGTTGTTGGTGGTGGTAGGGCGGGTGAAACTAGACTCACTTTGCTGCTATTTTACCTGAGGCTATTTGGACAGAAGGAGAGAAATAGAGAGAAAGAAACACAGAAAATGGAAGAGCCAGAGATCAAAAAAGGAGAGAAAAAATAAGAAACAGCGAAGGAGGAAGAGAAAGAAACGTGAGTCATTGGGAGCGGAAGAAAGGAAAGGGAGAGAAAGACGCTGATTATTTGTAATTAATTAGGCGTTATTGTTCTAAATTAGCCTGCTACACGGGTGCTCATTAATCTTCTGTAGCGGGAAGCTGTGATTGGTAATCCATAGCTGTTTTCTGAGTGCACAGCCTGTTCTTAATGCGCCAGTAGTCTGTCTCTTCCTCTCTTCCCTCCCTCTTTCCAAGTGATCACACAGCAAGACCTTCTACCCCATTAGTTGGAGCTTAATTTGACATTTAGCATTTCTAGCAATTAAAAAGGCTGCATTCAGAGCACTCGGCTATGGAAATCTTGCAGGAGAGCGTTGCAGAACATAGCGTCATAGATTCAGGATGCAGTCTGTGCATTAAGATGATGTATGTTGGCCTTAAATGGGGCTCTGCAACAGATCCAGTTACCATTAGGCAGAGGTAGTATATGTCTCTGTGGTTTTTGAAAGAACGTTTAGCCTTGCTTCGATATATAGAAAACTGCCTTGGGTGGCTCAGGCATCAGCACTGATCTAATCTAATTTCATTCTACTCCTCGACTCGGCCGGGCCTCAGTGGGGTATGGGAAAATGTTATGGCAATGTACAAAAACATGGTGGGTTTTCCTAATGTGACAGGTAACATGGTATTAGCAACAGGCACAACAAGGGCAGATCATACAAGAAGACTTGGAGGTGAAACACTAACAAACACAAAGATAATACAGCAAGTATGTGTACTTTTAGCTCCAACGACAAATAAAGGAAAATTCTCTTTCTTTCAATCAAAGGACACTCATTTTTTCAAAACTTGATTAATCAATAGAAGTAGAACTTCCATGTACAATGAGTCTTGAACAAGAGCCTGTACACCACAAACTGTAAGGTGAGGGTCAGAGTGAGACCCCCACAGTAGGAGCCTGGGAGTCCCCATTTAGATAAATAGATAAGGACCAACCACAAAACAAAGAGGAAATAGGGAGGGCAGTGTGGCTCTAATCCGATTAGCTAAATGCAATTCCTCCTCCAAAATCAATCTCATCTGCTACTGCTGGGCTGGCGGGTTTTTAGTTCATGTTCCAATATCTTCCTTTTTCACCCCTTGTAAAAACATTTTTCTTCGTAGTTTCGTGCCGCCAATCTGATCCAGTAATATGTAAACCGTTTTTTATCTGTAATTTATATCACCACTACAGGAAGACGAGCTCGCAGGCTACTGTAGATTCAAATAGTTTCAGGCCAGCCAGACAAACTCACGGGAATACCAAGGTGATTATGAAATAATTCACTTTGAGATGTTAATACTTACTATTAAAAGATTTAATACCTTACACTAGTTATGGTGATTGTATTTCTACTTCACCTTATAAACTACTTTTGATGCATGGCTATTTTCTAAAAAAAATATCTGAAAGTCTTTGCAAAGAACCACAGCTTGAGTTGTGTGTGTGTAATGTCTCAATAAAGCCAAAAGGGTAAAAGCTGCCAGGCCAAACTATTCTACAGTTTGAGATGTTAAGCAACAACTAAACTTAAAACTTCTCCTTTTTGAAATATTACTGTTAAATTACCAGCTCATAATGTGTATAAGGTACTCTGTCAGAGATCTGATAACTTTTTATTTGTCTTTGGTTTAACATCTTGACATGTATAATGAAGTTAGCTGACAGTAGGAGACTGAAGGACGGAGAGACCTTCTCCTTGTTCTCAGACTGATTTGTTTGCAGAGATGGATGAGGGGCACCTTGGGTGGGTGCAGGCTGAGAGTAGGGGAGGGGGCACTGTTATCTCAGTGTGCCCACCTGCAGGAACATCTGTCTATTCACAGAGACTCACACAGAGTACACTAACTTTAGAATGACTGACAGAATTATACACAATCACACACACACAGCGAATGTGTATTATGTTGTTACAAAATTAAATTGTATATATATATATATATATATATATATATAAAAAATATATATAAAAATCGTAGTAGACTTGCTGTGCCTCTGCAAACTACTAGTCCATTTGGTGTCAGTAGTAGACAACAAAATGGGGAAATAAATACAAAATAAAACGGCCTTTGGTGGATCAGGAAGCCAACTCACTTCTTGGCAATAAAAATGTATTTAGCTCTCAGGGAAGTTGAGTTGTAATTAAGCATTTGGAGCTAATCACAATGCACAAATCAAGATACACTGGGATATACATCAAACCCAAACTGATCAAATAAATTCAATATAATCAAACTGTTAACAGATAGGCTACACTCTAAAAGGGAGATAAAAAATTTGAAGTGTAGGAAATAAAGTTGCCCCAACAAGAATGTGCGGCAGGTGTCAGTGAATAAGGGGTTAAATATCCCAAGTTTAATTAACAATAAATATGCAAATGAGAAGAACCCCGAACAGAAATCGTAAACTCATACTGTACCGCACAAATATAGTTACACTTAAGCTGGTGACTGTTTTTTGTGTTTTTCTAGGGTACAGTCAGTATGTTCTTTTTTTTTTAATAGCTGCTATGAGGTTATTATTTTTCAACTGTGGTGACAAATACAAAAATGTATTAATAAAAAAATACAGTACAGAGATTTTCATGCACTGACAATATCTAAACTAGAAAGAGTGTCGAGAGGGAAAAACAAAGTTTCAGCAATAGGCATATTATCTCTTAGTTTGACAAAGTGACAAATAAAATGAGGTATACACGAGCCGAATCAAAAGTCCACGTGGAGGAAATGTGTGCAAATATGTATTTGTGAATGCATATATGCACTTATCAAGAGGCTCCCAGAGGGCTGGTTGTATTTATGAGGCCTTGTTTCTCTGATTGTTCTCGCACGGTTTCGATGAATATTCAATGGGCTCGGAGTTAAGGTTTTCCTGGAGCCCAAGAGAAAAGGAGGGCAAAGAGAAAATGTGCCTTGGAACACATAATCTACACAGACACACACACACACACACACACACACACACACAGCCCTGCAGCAGTGGGAGGAGAGAGCAACAGTGACAAACAGCTTTGGTGCTACAAAGGTGGCAGGAAATCTATCAAACGGGACAATAAAATTGCAATTGAGTTTCTTCAGCTTTTTTTTTTTTTTTTCTAGCAGATGCATGTATCACGGTGGCTAGCTCCCGCTGCAAGTATCCTTCTCACAGGTACAGTAGGGTCCCTGCACTGTGCGGGAAGTGTGCGTGTGTTTGTGTGTGTGTACATGAGTTTATTCATAAACACAAGTCTGATGTTAAACAAGTGCCAGGAACTGCAGCTAGAGCCAAGAAGAAGCAGCATTCATTAAGTGCATATGAAACAGCACCTCTACAACCTGCTGTGGACAAAGAACAATAAACGATTTCTGCGCTTTGCCACGTCGCAAGGTGAGACCCAAAAAAAAAAGAAAAACACTGCAGCTTTTTGAAAAGATGACACAAGAAGCAGGCTTTTTTTTAAATTACATCGGACACGTTATAACTAGGCAGGAATAGCTAGGAGTATAAATATTTTTGTGTTACTAACATTAAAATGACAGTCCAATTTGTCAAAACAATAGTTATATATAAGAATCGATGTATACTACACAGGTTTGTTTTATGAATATTAAAGCAGTGACTTCATAACCACAAAGACATTTACAGGGTCTGTTGAATACATATACAGTACGTGTTACATTTAAATTTCATCTCAATATCCACTCATCTTTGTTCCAGTTTTACATCAAATACCGCCCTTGAACCTCCACTAGAGCTCCATTTGTCTGATTTTACCCTGCGGGTTACTTCTGCATTGTTCAGAGGTGTGGAGAGAAATTCAGGAGTTCAGAGCATCAAGCATACAACACACACACACACAAACACCATCCTGCTAAATGCTGCTTTGGTAGGACTTATCCTCAAGGGGCAGTCTGCCTGTGCCCCCTACTGGACGACAACAGTCACAGCATCCTCTGCTACAGTGAAGCGTCTTGTATCACTTCTTCTAACTCTACCTTTAATCTGCCAGGCTTTAAAAAAAAAAAAAAAACAGACCACAATCTGACACCAACCTCAATTACTTCACTGCTTTGGAGCAGAGTAGTGAAATGTGATATCAACAATGAATTTCTCAAGTAGTATTTTAAATTCAGCTCTTGGAAATAAGAAGCGAGATTTGTTTTTATCGGTGCAACGTAAAGGAAAGAAACTCTAAATGTAAATAAAGAGTCGAAGGGCTGTTGGGATCCTTCCAAATGGTTTATACTCCAACTAGCTTTTAAATTGTAACCACTGTAGAGACCCCATAGCTTCATCAGATGGGCACACAGAGGCAAGGTTCAATTACTGGGCTACCCTACACTGCGACGATAAGGCTCTGTAATTTCTCATTTTACGAATTGCATTAAACTAAACATATGAGTAACAAAGCTGATGATTCTGACTGGATACTGCTGTAAACCTTTCTGGATTTCAACTGAGGAGGAGGGTTATGACTAGAGTCATGTGTTGAACAGTGGAGTAAAAACTGGAGTGTGTTTGTGCAAGTGTCTTGTGTGTGTGTTCTGGTGCTTACTATAGAGATATAAAGTGTGTGTGAGGTCAAAGAAAGAGAACTAGGAACGTAACATAAGAGAAGTAAAAAGGAAACAGATGAGGAGATAGAAGAAGATCCACAGAGAGAGATAAACAAATCTGTTTTTAACGTGTATGTACGTGTGTGTGTGTGTGTGTGTGTGTGTAGGGCATGTATGCTTATAATGAGCGCGCTGACCTTGGAGTGGGTGATGGACAGGGTGTCCACCCAGACGCGCCAGCCGCCCCACTCGTACTTGATGGCGTGATAGAGCAGGATGCGGAAGATGGCGTACACCATCTCTGTGACTTTCTGCTCCTCGCTGTTTCTGGGATTGATGAAGCACAGAGAGAGCATCCACTCCTGCCACACGGAGCACTGCAGCAGGCTCCTGAGACAGAATAGAACACATTTATTAAGATCTGAATGTGAATCCCACAGGCATGTAAATACACTCTGCGGACTAGTTTTTTTTTTTTTCCTCTCTCTTCGGTGGAATTCTTACCTGCGGTTCTCTCGGCTGTTATTAAACAGTTTGATCATGTCTGACAGGAAGACCCTGCGCACCTCCATGCTCTCGGCAGATGGGGGCGAGTTCTTCAGCAGAGCAGCTATAACCTTCAGAATTTCTAGAAATATTAACAGAAGGATAAAGAAGTATATGTTTATAGTTCTGCAGAAATGAATGTAGAAAAGTGCCAAATTATACTTCTTTTTCAGCCGTTTTATTCATTTTAGGGCATTAAACTGAATTTTTAAGGATTACAATAAAAAAAGTTGAATCTGGAAACATGTATAATTAAGCTTGGAAATAAAACCAGTTCTGTGGTAGAGAGGGAGGAAGTGAACAAATCAACGAGTAAGTCATACATTGGTATCAACATGTGCAAATCATCGTGTCAAAAACTATATGAACTTCCAGCTTTACACACCTGAAAATCTGTGCCTGTGGTAAGAAAAGCAGAGCAGAGGAGAATAAAAAAAAAGACCAGGCCATTGATCTTTATCGCACTGTAATGGTTTTGGTATTGTTTCAAACGGGAGATGCAGAGACGTGGGCCCTTTCTGGAAGGCTTGGCTTCGGTTAAACCGAAGAGAATGACTGTTTAGATGAATTATCTAGACAGTGTCAGTGTTCATTTGCTCTGAGTCGAGAGACGGCGGCGGCTTGGATTTCACTTGTCTTTTCAGACCTTGGCGCTAACCGATGCCCCTTTGCCCCGGCAGACGGTTGTGTTGTTTCTACGCCTTAGTCACTCAAATTATGAGTCGCTGAACCTTTACCGCCAGAAAATTACCCCAGCATGTACCGGGAATGAGGACGGAGGGGATGGCGTATTCCTTTCTTTTTTCCATTTGCTCTTGGTTTTCTTTCCCTTGAGTTAATTTGAGGGAAACGGTACTTCCTCGGTTTGTTTGATTGGCTCTGACGTTACTAAAGACTGCAATCAGGGGGCCATTTTGGGAGTTTGTCACAGATTAAATCAAGAAAATGCACGGCAAAGGAGAAACAGACCACCGCTCTTACTTTCCATAGTATGCGCTCACATGTGAAAAAAAAAGCCGTACAGGGTTTCTATGATATATACCGCCTGTCTGGGATGGTTGGGTCGGAGAGTTTTTAACACAATAAAGGCTTAAGATAATCAAAGTGTGACTACAGCAGGGCCTTGTCAGATTAAGGCTGGTTGGAAGTAAACCTTGGTTGTGATTATACCAAGTGCTCTGATTTCAAACTGATTAAAGATGTTTCGCGAGTGTGTGCACAAGGTGAACGCATGTGTGGAAGCAGCATTATAAACAGAGAGAGCGGTATGTTCCTTTCTTTGCTGAAATGAAAACTTACTGTAAAACTTCCAAATAGGAAAAGAGTTTGTGAGCTGACTTTAAATTGGAGGTGAAATAAACTAAGATGGGAACATTGATCAGAGCCTGGAGTTTTAGCGTGTTGTGTTGCTGCATATAACACACTGAGAATGCACTCCCTACATGTAATGATGCCCTTTACACAAATAGAAAAAACCTGTATAATGATTAAAATATGTGCAATTAGGAAAACTGTGCACAAAATTAATAGTATGTGTTTACTTTTATTTACCATTAAAAATACATTTTTAGCTTTATTTTGTTGTCGTCATCAAAAAACCTAATTGTTGTTATCCAGTATTTAAACCAAGGGTTTTTTCATACATTTAAAAACATAAAATTAACTTTATTAACTACGTTTGGCTGTTAATTCAATAAAAAAATTGTAATAAAATATTACAACTTCAACATTAAAGATGCACTTCTAATTGTATAAAACTTTCAAATGCATTCAAAATAAATAAAATACTAATGAATACTGAATTCAATTATATCAAAAATAATATTATAACACACTAAAATAATTGCAATGTTCTTTACATTTATCACACCTTTATATGTAAATTCATACTGATAAAGATAATAACGACTTCCAATAAAACGAGCAGATGTGTGTTCAATTGTCACACAAAGTATCCTCACCATCTTCATGTTAGGTTTACTTCTGGGTTATGTGAGAATACCCTCTGTCTGCAGAATTTATGTCATTCATTTGTTTGACTGTATACAGCGATTCGCACGGCTCCATGGGGGAAATATCCTCTGGTGCAGCGAGGAGCAGTAGGTATGTAGAGGGAGATGATTTAGGGGAGTAGTGTGGCACAGAGGAGGCACTTACGTGGGTTGAGAATCTTCACAGTGGAGTCGGGGTCCGGATGCTGTTTATGGATCACTTGAGTGCAGATCTGCTCTGTGAGAATCTACCGGGGGGAGAGAGAGAGAGAGAGAGAGGGGATTCAAGTCATAAATATCCACTCCGGCCCAAACAATAACAGAGAAACACTCGGCAGTATGGAATACACAAGGCTGCGTATATGTTTCACCATCACATCCTTTACTGCGGAATCATTGTCAAATCAAGTTTCTGCGGGTAGTAAGCCACATCATTTATTATTCCAACCATTATTAATTCAATTATTTACATGTTTAATAAAGATGGGGGGAAACTAAATGAAAGGGAAACAATGTTTGTAAAAAGAGAAGAATTTTCAATGATTGACTGTGATTTAAACGGCTGTTTAAAAACACAAAAACATAGAATGTAAAAAGAGGTTATTACAGTGTGTCAATGTTTTCTATTAGAGTGTGTACATATACACAGGACTGACCTCAAAGAGCACATTGTAGGTTGTCATGGTGAATTGGTTGGAGTTCAGCATCAGGCGTTCAGTGAGCAGCGAGAAGAGGCCGTGACTCAGCATGACCTCAGCTTTTCTCCTGATCAGGGCAGCAATAGATCAAATGTCAGCCAGTTAGGAAAGATCAGTATTTGTCAAACCACCTTGGTGTCAGGAAAAAAAAAGTTCTTCTAAACTGTCACATGATATGATATACTAATCTGTATTGATATCAATGCGCTAGAATTCATCAAACGGCGGCATAACTTTTAAAGAAATTCTGGAGTTTTTTATTGTTCAAGTTGTTGCAGCGGTGGAAATCTGTAACAGCATAAATCAGCCGAGCTCCAGCCGTCTTTTGACTTGGAGGAAATGAAAAAGAGAATCCCTGCTGACTAAGTAAGAAGAGGTCTTCAAAGAAAAACATTCAATGCTTTCATCTATGATTATGCTTCAACTCCCCTTTTAGCTCAAATGTGGACCGTTTACAAATAGTTTTAGTCAAACCTGCATCTGGATTACGGGTATTAAAAAATGGTTGGATGGAAATATGAGAGATGCCCCTTCTATTCCTTTATAAGTCACAAACAATCAACAGGCGGTTGAGGTGAAAAGTACCAGTAAGTCATAAACAGTTTTCATATGATAATCACACCCAATCACCCTCCGTAATGTACTATATCAACAGATTACTATTCACGCGACAGTATTTCCTTGTTATTGTGTTGCTTAAAAAACAATTAAGATTCTAACTTTGCCCTTTAATTATTCAAACAGGAACATTAAAAAAACTACATGAAGCTTATGGAAGAATAAATGCAAAGTCTTAATATTGTGCATCAGAGCAATCAAAAATAAACTCCCTTTCCTTTTGTGACATATCACTCGATTATTAATAGAAGTCTGAGTTTCAATGTATTATTTTAAATTTATAATGCAGACTCAATTATATTACATTTTCCAAACATCAGTTCTATACTCTGGTTATGTATCCAATCCTTCTTGTAATGACAATACGTACTTTGGTGTCATGTGTTTCAGGAAGTAGCCCATAACTTTGAGTGCCTGCACTCGGATTGGTTCACATTTTGAGGCCAAAAGCTTGTAGACCACACTGTGAACAGAGAGACACAAATCACATTAAACATTCAGTAAAAGCATTTAAAATATTCATCTATTAAGTAAATACGTTTAGCTCTTCATTAAGGATTAGGCAAAAAAAAAAAAAACATACATGTACCCCCCCCCCCCCCAAAAAAAATACATTGACAAATCACTGAAGTTATAAAATAAATACAATTAGCGCCTACTTTTACCAGTTCAACTACAATCTAATACATTTTTAAGAAACTGCGAGTACATCTGCAAATAATTTGAAAAACAAAACCAGGATTATTACCGAATCCCGTTGCGCTGGTCGAAGGCCTGGACCATGGACCCAGGATGTTCCGACATCAGAGCGACCAACAACTGCAGGACGTCCATGAGATTATCATCCTGAGAGACAAAGAAGAAAAGCCACATTTACTTCAGTGTTCAAGGACAGCTGTTTAAAAAAAAAAAAAAAAAAAAAACTGCATCCACTGAAGATAATGTGTGGTTTTTAAGATGATTCAATACTGTATTATTTAGTTTTTTTAAGAGGATGGAGCAAAGGGAGAGGGAAAGGTTGTGAAAAAATATGTACAAATAATGGAATACATCACAAGCATTTAAACTGTAGAATCACAATAAGTGCTACTTTATAAAATGAGGGGCTGTAACATGTCAGTGGCATTTCCGGGCAATGCCACTGACAATATTTCAGCCTCTATTCTTACAAGGTTCACTGCCTTTCTGACTGATCTGACTGATTCAGTTTTTATGCATCGCACCACGGTAAACAAAACCACTGCTGTCAGGACCTCTGACTGGCAGACAAAATAACAAGAAACAGTGATGCTGCCTTCAGAAACAGGAATGGCTCTTGCTCTGGTTATCAGATGGTGGGAAGATACAAAATAGAGTACAGAAGTGTTATGCTGCTCTCTGGTGGTCAGTGCTGCAAGAACAACAGAACACATTCGCATACATACCTCGTGCATGGTAAGGAGGTAGTTGAGGATACTCTGTAGCTCGTCTTCCTTCACTCCATGATCCTGGAATATATGATTTATTTATTAGTTTGATTATTGTTTCTTGCATAAATAAATTGTTGAGTCCTACACTGGCCACTACATTGCAAATACACCAGAAACCAGAAAGTAAAAACTTTTTTTTTTCCCCACAATCTGTACTTCCCAGATAGAGTTCCACCTCAATAAATAATCTTCTGTGTTGCAACTATAAAAATACAACGGCACAACGTATCTGTGAGCTATAGTAAAACTGAATAATGCTACACACTTAAATAAGAGTTCTGGGTTTGGCAAGACTTAACTCAACTCTTAATGCTTGTGCATATGGTCATTGCCATTGTTAATCAGACTGCAACACTCCTGCCATCAGTGAGCAACCCCATATTCCATACAAACACCAGAGAAGGAAACACAATGACATGTCTTCTGCAATCTAATTCAGCACTTTCTGAAGCAAGTCAATAAACTCAGTGTGGTGTTTGGAGAGAAGGGAGGGTGTCTGGCTTTGGCTTCATGAACTCACCTTCATGATGAGCTGCTTGACAAACAACAACAGAAAGGCTCGCAAAGGAAAGAGCTCCTTGTCTTTTGGCCTTGGACCATCTGAAAACCGAAACACAAAACGATGGCTGTTGAAAGCGACTTATAAATGATCAACTCAGCACCCAAGTTCTGCATCTGAGTGTTTGTTGCAGTGTGTTCATATGTGTGTGCATCATTTGTCTAGGCTTGTAATATCTAGCTTTATATGCATTGTCTGTACATACTGTATATTTTAAAGAAATTATAAAAGAGGGAAGTAAACACCACCCAGGGTATTATAACAAATCTGCATTACATTACAGTATAGTTTTAGCATTTTTTAATGCATACTCACCGAGGCCTTTGGGCACAACTCCGCTGCGGTCCTGTGGGTTCACAACCCAGTAGTAGTATTTCAGTGTGTGCATGACCTGAAGTACAGTGCCCACTCTGCGGATGGTGTTGTAGATGGTGACGGTGCTGATGAACTCTGTTGCTAGGTAAGTGTAGAGTGTTAGCTGCACCTGCAAAAAATTAAGAACATTTATAATATTCATACATGCAGGCTTGATTTTGTATTCAGTTTTAAGGTGTCCTAGCTTTTAAGAAAAAAGTAAAAGCTTCTAAGCTTCTAAGCCCCAAGCGTTGTAGGCAAGCCCTTCTCATTTAAACAGCATTCACTGAGTTACAGGTTTAGGGATAACCTTGGACTCTGAGCTGAACTCTGAAAATTAAAAGTAGGGCAAGACTGTACAGAGCAAGAGAGGCTGATTATGACTGTGCAGGATTGTTTGAGAGACCATGTAGCGGTGACAGATCTGTGTGTGTCTTATCTAAATGTTTAAACACATATTTCCATCTTTAAAGAAGTAAATATCAAAATAATGGCGCTGTGTCTGTGATGTGTGTGTATGTGCATGTATTTAAGTTACCTTGGCAGGGGCATGAATCCAGATGGCAGGGTTGAACAGAATGTGATCACACAGCTGCTTGAGCAGCAAGATGCCGTTCTGCAAATTGCTAAGGTATCTGGAAAAGGCCAGCACGATGTCCAGGACAGGCCGGGTCACGTGCACCTTGGAAGACTGGAGCACAGACAGGGAGACAGAAAGTGTGATAGGAGCACAATAGGAGGTGGAAAGAAAAAAAAAAGAGCGAGAGCAGCGATATGTCAGTAGACGGAGGCAGAAATGTGGAAAGCAGAATGGGGTGAATGAGGCTCGACACAGGGGAGGGGAGGGAAAGGGCACATGCAGAGAAAGATGAGAAGGAGCTCCTCTTTTGCCTAACAAGCACACAGGCCAGCTGTGACCTCCAAATACAGCTGAGGGGAAACAAAGTACGCTTCATATTAAATGTTTGTGCTGGTGTGAGCATGTGTTTGTGGGACTTAGGGAATCAAGATCTGCCCCATCACTGTACTGAGATCATTATGTGGTACAGGAAGATGGCTCTCTTGTGTATTTTTGTGCCAGCTGAGGCAGTTTTGTGTTTGTCTCACCTTCTCCAAAGTGTAGCCAATGACGAGGAAGCCTTTGCAGGCCAGGACCTGTTCTTGCATAGCCACGGAGTTCTTTAAGAGCTCCATCACAAAGGAAAGCAAAGTGCAGCTAAGAGGACGACAGACAAACAGCAACAAAAAAGAGAGAGTGAGAGAGAGGAGAGAGAGTTAGACAGTGACAATAATCTATGTAAGCTGCTGACAAAGCCCTGACGGTGAAGGGCATATCCTACATGAAACGTGATTGAATGAGGGTGTCATGTCCCCGTTGTGTTAGCAGGACAGATTCTGGTTAGCATCACCTTGAGGGCAGCAGATATTACAGCCATGCTATTTACAAGCAAGATGTCGTCAAAGCTTTTAAAAACTCAGCATTACATCAAAAGTCTAGAATATGAAAGAGCATGCTCACTTTAGGTCTCTTTTTGACAGCGCAATGACTAAATGTTTTACACTCTGACAAACAACTGTTGACACAAAGCGCTGGAAATAACGACGCTCATTGGCTGTCTGGGTACCTTCCAGACATATACTGATATTGTACATCTTATTCTATCAGAACAGTTTATTTCAGAATATAGTTATTCAGTTTAACATAAGGATTAAAGTACTAATTTGCTTTACTGAAAAGTTCATCAGTAATCTGGGAGGAGTGTCACTTTTAAAAATGTGAAAATATTTCAAATATTCTTTTTTATTATTTGTATTATCTGAAGTGCAGTGTTAATAGAGACATTCAAACTACTTTACACTGAAGCCTTACAGAGTCTAGAGAAAGACAGTATTAGAAAATTAATATTAGAAATATTTCAAAGCCTCATTTGTAAACCTTTACTAACAACTGGAGTAGAGTCAAGTGTTAGTCCACCCAAGTTCACCACTGAAGAACAGTAACTGTGGCTAACTGTGGTGCCAGTAGCTCTATGATAAATACAATTTCCTTTTTTTAAACTTAGATAACTTTTACCTGCTGTCAAATGTTGAAATGTAACAGCCCATATTACACCGTGTCAGCATTATATTCTTCTTTTAGGGCAGAAACATCGTCCTGATTCATGATGCCAGTAAAGCAACTGAACTCCTAGCCTTCATATTTACACTACAACGTGTAACAATGACTTAATGCAAACAAGATATGATCTTGATGTAGTGGAAGACAAACAAGTGTGCGTGTGTTTGTGTGTTTACCAGACGGAGGTGTCCAGCTCGTGGCTGGAGGGCTGGCAGAAATCCAGCTGTGCAAACAGAGGGAAGAGGACCTGCACGCCTCCGATGGAGTGTATGCCACTCTGGACTGAGTGAGTCACCACGGCCTTCACGTCCTGCCGACACAAACACATAATGCAGCTCCATTTAACATTTAATATATCTGACATTTGCACTTGCGTCACACAGGTACTTGCTTTAATAACACCAGTGTTATTATTATTATCCAGCCTTTACTCTACAAAGCTGCTGATAGCACCTTCATACTTAGTGAACACATATTAGAGTGGTGTCATTTTCGAGTAGTCACACTATCAAAGAGAATGTATTTATACTTATGAAGTTATGCAGTGAAGTATTAACAAGTTTTTTATCCTGACAGGAACAAACTCTTAAGAGACACTTTTAATCTGTGTCCATTAATATCTAGTCTTAATTTCACCCCCTATTTTACCTTTATAATAACACAAGATAACAGATGTTGTCAGTGTTTAAGAGGATAAATATAATGCCAACATTTCAATACTGAATACTTTATTTCTTTCGATCAGTAGTGAATAAATCATGAGGATGAGTTCAAATTGATCTTTTTTTTCTTTGAGTACTGGATTCTGGTGCAGGCCTAGTTGTTGTTGTTGTATGTTGCAATACCAACACAGGCTTTGTAAAACTTTTCCTCTCTATAGGATTGGAATGTTGGAGCATGGTGTAGCTGAGCAGAAAATATAGGTCACATATTCATTCATATTTCACACAGTGTGTGTTCGTGGTTGTATGCGTGGTTGTGTGTTGGAGGAGGCACATGTTTGTGTGGCAGCAGAAGCCTCGCTCATACAAACACACAAAGCACTGTCTTTGATGAGAGGGCATGAGAGAAAACTCAATTAGTGTTTGAGAAAAAAGAAAGAGTGTTGTTTGTATATGTGTGTAGGGTGGGTGCTTGTAAGAAGCATATGGAAAGCTTCCACAAGAGTTCTCCTACCTTTTTTCTAAGGAAAAATGCAATAAAAAAAAAAACACATGCATGTCATACTGAATCTCAGCCAAGGGAAGGCTAATTCCATAATTAGAGCACCAGGCTAGCATTTTTCAGCTGCTGTTGGAGTCGGACTAGCTGAACACACTTCCACCTCTGCCTTAATGAGGCTATTAAAATGAAAAGAAGCCAACCAGGCCACTTTCATTCTTCCTCTGTGAAAAATGAAAGAGTAAAGCATGAAACATATTTAACAGTGAGAGGGAAGGAGCAGGCGTACAGGTGGGGAAACAATTTGCGATGACAATGCTTTAATCTTGGTGCAGCATTGTTGACTCCGGGTTATATTCAAATAATGGCAGTCTTAATGATATCTGCTCTGACTTAAATGGAAACGGCTGTTACACGAGTAAGATTGTTTGTTAAAAGGATAATTACCTGCAGCATGAGAGAGTGCGGTGAGTGGACGAAAATGGAGGCGTTGTCCTTAGGAGAGGACTCAAGGCAGAGCTGGGCATCTGTGGCGCGAGGGTTGTAAGTGAAGGCGATGCTGGAGGACAGTTTGCCATCGTACAGTAAGGTCTTATGATGCTCTGCAAACAGCAAGTCACTCTCAGCCTTGTACTTGAATGTGCCCTGAAGAGGTGGAAATGGAAGGCAGAAGGACAAAATACAGCAATAGAACATTAATGAGATGGGTAAGCTAACTCATCTCGGTTTCTTTTACCACAATATAATGACAACCAACAATGAGGTGGTCTCCAACTACTTTTATTTTTGGTTTGTTTAAAAATGTTTCACTGACTGACATGGACATTTATTTTAATCACGATAAAGCACCATTGAACTACAGTATGCAAGTTCTTCTTTAGTCTGGAGCTTCAGCTGTTGTGGTACTAAAACTGCGGTATCAGGTGTTGGCAAATACACAAGCCAGTTCACTGTGACAAAACCTTTTATGAGCCCCCTTTAGAAAATTTACTACTGTTGATTTCTTTTTGTGAAAATTAACAATAAATTTGAATAAGAAATTTAGAAAAAAAGACATGTTTATGTTAAAAATCAGGGTTTATGTGACATCAGAAGGGGGCCATGAGCTGAGCTGCTGTTAGCATTAGCTCAGTTAGCAGTATTTTTTCAATCGACAAATTTAAAAAAACAAAGATGGCAATCAAATCACATAAAAGTGAGGTTTTAAGTCTTGCCTGAAGCTGATAAATTATGATAGTGTAAAAATGTTTTAAAGCAATGGTATGCAGGCAGTATTGAGTTTATTCCCAATAGTCAAGGCAATGTCTCCTAAGCATACGAGAATAAAAACACTGTCATTGAAACAACTCTAAATGTATCATCAAGTACTTTATGCATTCAAACCTGGTAACCTGGACCCAGCTGATAGATAGCCAGTATCTGAGCAGCACTGAGACTCTCTCCAAACAGGTAAACAGCCCCCATCTGTCCACAGAACACACGGTTGGCATCTGCTGTCTCCGACGATCCAAGGAAACACTTGTCAAACGTCTGCAGCAGGAGAGACGCAGGTAAGAAGATGTAGAAGTAAGATTAGAGAAGCCAACAAAGGCAAAGAAATAGACAGTTAAAGGTGGATAGAAGGAAGGGAGGGTGGAGGAAATAGGGATTTTAGAGAGAGAATAAAAAGCACAGACAAGACCAAAAATAGCCAGAAAAAAAACAGAGGGAAATGCATATAATGTTACCACTAAATTGCAATACAAAACGTCAACTATAAGCACACTGTAGCTAACAAGATAAAGACTGATCTTCGTCTGGTCATGGTCAGTGAGGCAGAGCACAAATGTTGAGGAGGATGAGGCCACATCTCAATCAAGTAGCTAATTTGCCTGGTGACAGTCTGACACATCTGGAGGATTACAACGCACTGCGGAGGCATTTTCATTCCACAACAAATTTGATTTTAGAAGCTCGCATGACAGAAAGTAATCCTGGAGAGTGTGACAGAGTTCATACAGTGATGTGCGTGAGGAGAAGGGTGTGTATATGTAGCTGTTTTTTTAACTGTACTATAAGATGCTTAAAGTGGAGAGAATGGTTTCAACCCCCCTCTGACAACAAGGACTCAGATTATTTATTCACACACACACACACACACACACACACACACACACACACACACACACACACACACACACACACACACACACACACACACACACACACACACACACACACACACACACACACACACACACACACACACACACACACACACACACACACACACACACACACACACACACACACACACTATGAGTGTATATATATGGGGAGAATGTCTGCTGTTCAGTGTTTGGTACATGCTCCTGCTGCAATATCTAATTCTGAAATGTATAATATTATAAGCAGAAAATCTGTAACATGGACTGACCTTATTCTAGACAGCAGTTGGAATTGTACATGTGATTTGTTTTCTAAGTTTTATGAAGCTACACTTCAGTACCGTATCTGCTTGCTCAGCTTGTGTTACATGTCTTACAACAGCGTAGGAGGACACTTATGTTTGATTTAGTAAAGTTATTGCCAGAACTTAACAAGTGCCAATGCTCTAATATATCGGCGGCCAGATATTTGGTTTGCAATTGTCTGACATATGCAGCAATGTAGTTGTCCTTTTTCTCTCATTGTTTTTGTCTCTGCTCTCTTTTGTTTTCTAGTGCCATGTGAGCCCAAGCAGGCTGGGCATCCTTTTGGTGCATGACACGTCAATAAATAAACAACTATTTCTACTACTCCAAATATTTAAGCTTGCCAGAGGGCATCATGCAGTTATATTTATAGTTTGTAAAATGCCACATAACACATTAATTCATAAGAACGGCCTACATAGAAGAGCAGTTTGACTTTTTGGGTAAATATTTTTATTTACTGTCTTGCCAAGTGTTACATGAGCAATCAAAACCACTCTTGTGTCTGTAAGGGAAACATTAAACTTAATGGGGCAGCCAGATAGCTTAGCTAAGTACAAAAGCTGGAGACAGGAAAACAGCAAGCCTGGCTCTATGCAACGCCTGGCTCACACTTCCTAACCTCTGACTTTTGGAGTCGGCTACCTCGATGAACTTCCGCAGCTCGCATTAATTTTCTGTCCACACAGACAGCCTGTCAGCTGTATGGCTCAAACTGCAAGCCCCATCTTTTTAAATCAGGTTTGCCTTTATAATAGGTGTTCTGGGGACTTTTCACTAAGGAGGAACTATCCACTAGGGAGCTCTCTGAGAACTACACACCATGGGAACTTTTTTCTGTCTGCATTCACACCGCCATGGTACCTACTCTGAAGCAGGAGCTAAAAAGGTTCCTCTAAACGAGGTTCAGGAACTAAAATAGTTCTTAGTTCCTGCGGTGGGTAATCAATACAAATTGGGGAGGGCTCCAACAGTTCCTAGATCTATGAAAAAGTTCCTGCGGTCCGAAATCACCTAATGCCTTTTAAAAAAGTAAAAGTAATATTTCGTTTTGACTGAACTCTGAAATGGATACAAATGGAGTCGAGTTAAAAACTATATGTTGTTACTAGTTATTTCCACTGAACCTGTGTTGAGACGTGTCATTTTCCTAGTGTGTGGAGTCACAATGATGATAGACAAATTATTTCCACTATAATTCTTGTTAAGATTTATAAGATTTGTGGAAAAAAAATGATTGAGGCATCACACAACATACTCAGGTAGACAGTATGGCGCAGCAGGTGCACAAAAGAAATAAAAAATATAAATAAGGCCGGAGTTTAAAAACAGAGATAATGAAGCCTTTCATGGTCGTGTTTGTGACTTCCTGTCTGTCAGCAGCAGTGGCGTCCGTCTCCTAGCGTCAGGTACAAACTGACGCTCTGAATTTTAACACGTTAGATGTTGTTAGATGTTTATCAGATAAAAAAAAAAAAAAATGTTTGTATTAAGGGGGCATGTCCTGAACTATTATGTGATGCAGTAACTTCCTGCTTTTCCAGCCTTTACTCTACAAAGCTGCTGATAGCACCTTCATACTTAGTGAACACATATTAGAGTGGTGTCATTTTCAAGTAGTCACACTATCATCAAAGAGAATGTATTCATACATATGAAGTTATAATTCAGGAACCTCGATGGTTCTGCAGTTCAAATAGTTGCTACTTACGTCACTGGTGTTGACAAACCAGGCGATGTCTCCAAAGGAAGCCAGCTCCCCGTTCACATAGCAGCTAATCTCGCTGTTTTTCCAGCGGTTGTAGACGTGAACGAGAGTCACCATGTACCACTGCGGCAAAAAAGAAGCACACTCTCACAATGAAAATCTATTTCTGTATATGTGCAGTATCAATCACACAAAACAAGATATAAGTCAGCATGAGTTGAGAATCCTGCCTACTCAATTACGCTGATCCCATCATGTTCCTGTGCCCTCGAGCAAAAATCCCACCTGCTCAGGTTTCCCATTTTCTCCTCAAATACGTTACCAGTGTTATCACAATGGAATCGGTTATTATGGTTTCCTCTGGACAAAGATGAACAGGCATTAAAAATAGAGTAAAAAAAAAAACAACTAAACTAAGTTCCGAGTTCTCGTGAGTTTTATTGACATAAGGTGGTGCCTTCATGCCCAGGGGGAAGAGGAGGATTTTTTCATTTTGTCCACAGGCTGAGCATCTTTCTCAGCCCCAGTGGCCCCCTGAGTGTGCTGTGCCTGCAGGGGGGACTGAGAGTATTGGATAATCCCTCTCTCCTGTCGCCCTAATTCCTCCTTATTCCAGTTTTGCTTCTCCCAAGAGTCAGGTACGACGTGACAGTTCTTTCCTACAGGAAGGTCTCATGTTTTGCATGTGTGGATCTGTGTGTGCGTGTGATTGATAGCGTGTTGGCTGACATATCTGTGATCTATTTACAGATATTTCTGGGATAAGTCTTTTTATACTCGTGATATTTGCTTCACCCATGTAATCAAACCTCTGCCTGTGTTTTGCTTGGTACCTTTTGTGGTTTGAAGTCGTACTTCACGCAGTGCTGGAATCCTTTCCCCTTGGATTTTAATGAGGTCACTATCAAACAGCCGCCCACAAAGTGTGCAGAGTAACCCATGCCTTTACTGGTGCGGAAACTGAAACGAAAATTACAGGGAGACACAAACAAACAGCCTTAGTTCCTGAGTGAAGCTTCACGCTTTTTTTAATGACTACATTCAAGGGCAACAGAGGGGTAGTCAGTGTCCAATTTATCAAATAAACACTTCAAAAGGAGGCTCATAAGGATAAAGATAGCAAACAATCATTTCTCAACTTCACAGACTCTACCCATCATTCTCCATATCCTGGCAAGACCTGGCCCCACTGTGTGATTTAGTGAATTAATCTTGTTTTAAAAGGGCACTGGGCTGAAGAGGAGCTTTTATTCAAGATTCTTTCAAGCAGCTCGTCGGCTGTACAGCCTGGTTATCATTTTCACAGATTCCCCTACAGATCCCTGTTGTATAAATTAGATTTTTGACAGAAAATTAATTACTGGTTGAAAAGAAGATGATCAGAAGGCTTGACTTATGCGCTCCACAGAGGGGAGGCTTATGATGATGAGGAGGCTGGAGAGATGAAGGAGGGGGAATAGTGACTGTTATCTCATATGTGAGGCTGGAGGCTGCTCTTCTACAGCACATTTTAGGGATTCAAATACATTCATCTAAGACATACGAGGGACGGATCTTATTGTGCTCTATGCATCAGTGTAACACCAACGTTGATAACATTCCCTTCTCTTTGTATTATTTGTACATGGAAATGTTCATTAAGTACTTCGACATATTTACGACTTCTGCAGTCTGTACTTTGTGTTCTAAATGACACTGTAGCTCCTTTATATTCATTAAACATTTGAATGCAACACGAAGGACAACATTTTGAGCTAACTGCTTAAAATGAATGAATTGTTACATACCAGTATAGGTAAGGCTTGTCTTTGTCTACATTGATGTTGTTGAGGGGATCCATGCGGAGCCACGTGTGGAACGTAAACCCATTCTGGTACGGCCATTTTGCTATAGGAGGCAGAGCTATAGCCTGACAGGGGGGAACAGAAGCAAACAGAAGAGGATATGAGATGGGGTCTCCACTAGCTGAGAAATGAAAAGACCCATAGAGCACATCAAAATGTGGTTTGATACTAAAGGTTATTCTTAAAGTAGAGAAATTCATGTCATGGTTTTTTTTTTAATGGATTTGGCACACGGAAAATGTATATAACCATTAGTCTTAATAGTGCTTGTGTGTGTTTGAGTGTCCCAGTGTGTCTATCCAGGCCTTTCTTCTTTCTCATTAGCAGGGCAACACAAAAACGCAAGGTGTGAGTGCACATTTCCAACCCACTGCTGGCTGACACAGACAAATACTAACAGAGTTCAAATCAACAAAATCAGACCCAAATGGCACGGTGGACTCATAAAGGACCATCACCATGGCAATGGAGGGTTGCAGGAGCTGACAGCCACACACATACACACACACTCTATGAACATATGAGGACCAGTAATATTCCTACTTAGGGTAATGAAAAGTTCATCCAACTTGATGCTTCAAATAACTATTTGCCTCGTCCTTTCATACACAGAAAAAATATTAGCATTCACATCCATCAGATCGTGATATATTTATTCTTTACAACTAGTGAATGATCAATGAGTCATTTAGTATAAAGGTAAGAAGAAATGATCTTTAAAAGGGATATGCTACGCAATGAGCATGATACTTAACACATTGAAATTGTATTCATATACAAATGTATTTGGGATAAGCTATACTCACTATTTAGCAAAGTGAATAAAGTGTGTGCGAGGCTTACATTAACACAATCATTTACAGAAAAAAAAAAAAAGAAGTAGTCTAATGTTTTATGGTACTAAAAACAAAGAACAAGGATAAGGAGGTTTTGAATAAACTAATGCAAATGACAGTTGCAACTAACATTCTCAAAGCAGGATTTTCATAGAGCTAGTGGGCATCAGCCACCATGTGATATATTTAGACACAATATGTAGACTCAGTACAATGCTTACACAAACAGTTTCATTTCAAATCATGCTCTTTGACACAGCGAGAGTCCAATGGCATGTGAGGCTCGAGGAGGGTAATTGAAGACTCTGTTATTTTCTGATGCCTATTGATTACAGGACAAATGAACGGCTAACAGAAACAAAATGAAAGGACTCAAGAGAGATAATCATTTAATATCAGAAGTGCTATGATTTCCCTTTGTAAGATGAAAATAAGACATTTTATTTTAAGTTTCAGGAGGAAGACATAGAGTTCTACAGTCTGGTGACTAACCATTTATTAACACCCACAGTATTATAACCATCCTGCTCCTGATTTGTACAGTAGCATATTTCTTCAGTATTTTCTTCTATATTCATGTTAGATAGTTTACCTTTTTGTTACTTCATTGTTATTTAGAATACACATTGTTGCATATCCCATATTATACCATATTGTTCCATACTATACCGTGTTAAGATGTTATATTCTTTCACTGTTGTTTACATAACTCGCTGCTATTAATCAAAACATGTCACTTGAAGTTGTTGTTTACTGCATAGCACATCTGTATTTGTCTTGTATTGTTCACTTTACTCCTTCATAAACCATTTTAATATACCATTACCTTCTATTTTATCTCTTGTGTTATTTATTCTTATTTTAGCTCCCATTTCCCTTGCAATTTTCTTTCTAGGTGCACTGCTGCACATCATGTGGCATACTCACAGCTGCATTTTTCCCTGGAAAGCTGAAGAAGGAGTCTGGGCCACTTCTGTGAGCCATGTACTTCAGAACTGACAGAAGCTTCACTGCATGACGAGGCTGCGGAAAGAACACAAAAACAAGCAAGGACCATCTCAGACATGTTGTGTTGAAGTGCATACACATACACGGACAGTAAAGTCTATGAACCCTCAGTACACACACTTACATATTTGTAGCTCCTACTACAAAAGAAAATGTATTAAGTTGCAAACTAAAAAAAATCACTGCCTAAATTTGATTCCATAAATTACTGATTATTGTGAAGAAACATAGTTCCCTGCAAAATACCCCCATGAAACAAGTTTACAAAACAGAAATCAGATGATGGATCACAATTTTCAACAAGCTTGTAGTTAATCATTTTCTGAACTAAAGCACTGGATAATGAACTTTGGCATGTATCCCATCCACTTTGTCTCCCCAGATATTTCACAAGTATGAGATTAAGAGAGGAGCTTTGGCAAGAGTTGCTTGAAAAAAAAAAAGGTGACTTGAAATTTAGAGGCATAAATAAGACTTGCCCTATTTCCTTCCTTATCTACTGAATGTGGGCTGCTGCTGCTCTAGATCCAAGAAGCAGTAGTAGTTTGATTTATGTTGTCTATGTGACTAGAGCGCTGGCCTGTGCGTTGGAAGCAGTAACATTGTTGCTGACACATTCCTCATGCTGGTCTCAGACAACCAAGAATGATCGCTGTGGCATGACTTTGACTCACCCACTGGCCTTTTTCCCCTTGCAGCTTGCTGAAGAAAAGCTTCAGCTCTTTCACTGTGATGCTGTAGCTGGCGAGCACGCCCAACATGTCCACCAGGAGGTCTGCAAGAAACACACACACAGAGCAGCAAAAAGAAGTTTGATATAGAAACCAACAAGATTCAGAATTGTATGTGAAAACAGAAATAATGACAATACATAAAGATGAACTTAAAGTTTGACTAAAAGACCTTTAATTTAAGGGGTGGGACAAAATACTGATAAGGTTATATACTATATATATATATATATCGTGGTCCTGACTCGTGTGATACAATTATCATATCACAGGTGCCAAATAATATACTGATATATATTTTACCTAAAACTATACAATGCTCTGAACAGATTTGACCCTCTGTATCACTACTTCATGACTCATCAGGATTGTGCTACTGCTCATGGCATGAATGATGGTAATGAGAACGGAAGATAACTGTCCAAATAAGAAGAAGGCAGCGGGATAATGTCAGATAGTGGTGAAAAGAAGCTACAAGATTAAACATGGGGGGGCGCGCTAGTAGCTTAGGGTTTAGTGAGCGCGCCCCATGTGTCCTCCAAGCGGGCGGCCCAGGTTCAGATCCAACCTGTCCCTGATTTCTAACTCTATCCACTGTCATATCTCGACAACAAAGGCATAAAAAGCCCACAAAAAAAGCATGATAATGGGTAAAACTGTCACCAGATTGTAGTACTTCAATAGATATCATGATGTATTATGATACAGTTGTCTTGAAATATATCTTTTATTGAAGAATCACAGTATTGTGATGTTATTGTTTTGGGCCACATATCGATCGCAACAGTATCGTATTCTGTATTGTGAGGTGACCAGCAATTTCCTCTCCTATATCATGTGGTCTTTTTTAATCTAACCTAATTATTCTTATAATAATCCCTATTTTGATCATCTGAATGGTACCGCTCCCATGTTAATCAGCTAAGATATATTAAAAAGGACAGTAGGGTAAGCCAGACCTGAGTAAAAGCAAACGGCAGACTTAGAGTAGAAAAGATGCTTGGAGTCCCGGCTTCAGTGCAGCTTCTTTTATGACTGATTACTGACTAATGATGAGGTATGACATAACAGATCTGTGACTAGTGTGCACATACACTAGCCGCTGATTTAATCTTCCTAATTTAAGTATGAGTGGCAGTTACATGTGGCGGGTCTTATTCTACTTCAGTCGTATTAAAGCACAGCTGCTTGGTCCTGTCCTTCATTATCATTTTTTCAGGATATTATGACAAGATGAAGAGAGACTTTAATCTGAAAATGTCAAACAACGTAAAAAAAAAAAAAAAGTTACGTAAGACTACTTCAGTAGTTTCAAACCACATTATGAGACAAGGATTTGTAGTGTAGTGAAATACAGCTACATCCATTGCTCTGGGCTGCCTAGTTACTGCTGGGCCATATCATCCCTGCTTGACCGCACAAACCCTGTAGGCCAGCACTGTACTATCGGGGAAAAGTTCACTGAGCCGGACACTGCAGGATTAATACGAACTAATTTGCAGATGGGCTTCAGACTAGACTCGGGGGAGAGTGTACATGACTGCAGTATAACCGTGTGAGCACCAATGCTGGATGATACCAAGAGGGAGGAAAGTTCTGATACTGCAATCTGGGTTCAACTTTCTGCCTGCTCACAGAGGTCAGAGAGTCAGCAAAGCATTTCTTCTAGAGGTGAAATGGATTCTTGTCTTGCTCAATGATCACAGTTCAGTGGTGCTTGCTACCATCAGAGCTTGAGGCTGTCTAGCTTTTTTTTTTTATTTCATTTTCCAAAACTTTATAAAAGCAAAATGAAAATTAACAGCTTCAGATGATCATATTGATGGAACATACCGGTAGTTTAAATTGCTTCTTTTTTTTTTTTTTACACCCCAATTAGCAAACACATAAATACAGGGCACTTTTTTCCAACAAGGTGTATTTTTAGTACCTGCAATCATGCTGTCCGTAGTGGATATCCGCTCGAGCACTTGCTGGATGAGCACAACGTCCGTGCATGCCTGCAGGTTGCGGACGCTCTTCTTCAGGATGGCGGTGAAGATGCTCCAGACCTCGGCCTGACACGTGGGCTCGCACTTATCTAGCAGCTCCACCATGCACACGATGCTCTCGGGTTCTTGGATGATGAAGTTCATCTCCAGGTCAAACTGGCCGCCGACCAGCTGGAGGAAGCATGGAATGAGAGAGAAAGTGTTCAGTTTCAGTCATTTATGGAGTAAATCAAAGTAAACAACAAACAAAAAACTGCAATGGACTCTTCTTGGCGAAAGGAGAAAAACATTTTATCAAAAAGATCTTCAATAATCCTCCAAATGTATTGACATTCCAATGTGTGCACACTCCTAAACAGATGATTAAACATGCACCCGAGCTGCTGCAAGCTGAGTGGATTAAAGGTCAGGGGGGGAAACAAGGGTCTCTGCCAGTTGATCTGCGTGTCTGACAGCAGATTCAACTGTTTACAGATAGCCTTTTATTCACCGGGATAAACCCAGGGCACAAAAGAAGAAAAAACAAGGAGCCATGTCAGTGAAACTAACTGAGACATCTAGGCAGACACGAACAGTGAGAAGCGTGTTTAGAGGTTTTTTGTTCCTGTAGGAGGCTCTGAAATACTAACAACATGTGACATAGCCTGGAAGACAGACCTGGGCTGAAATCAACTCTCATATTCCACATACAAGAGAAAACACTGAGAAAGAGCACTTTCATGTTTATGTGTGTGTGTGTGTGTCTGTGTGTGTGTGTGTAATAAATATAAAATATAAAATATAAAGAGAGAAAGTAAGCCTTAGTGTGGATCTTATACTAAAGCCTCTATAGGAGCTGTTGAGGTACTTCGCCTGTTGTATGGCACAGGAGTAATGCTCTTTGTGTCTGGAAATAAATTGAATAAACCATAAATGTCATAGTTTGTCACCCCTTAATAGTTGTGATGACATTTTTAGTATTGAACCCTGCCTAATAGAAAAAGATAAGGAAAATAACACTGCTGGTGTCAAATTAATATTGTGTGTGAGGCTGTCATGTTTAGGGAGGTTTGACTGGACAGGAATTATGTGTGATAGTCACATTCGGCAGTCAGACACACTGGATGTGTAAACAACATGATGTGGTGCAGGGAATGGAAACTGTCCCCCTGAAATTGAGTGAGGTCACTCGGCTTGTGTGTATGTGCGTTGGGTAAAAGATAGAGAAGCTGGGAAAAGCAGGGGTAATGATAGTGCTGAAACATCCTTAAAGACAGACGATAACACTGACACACACCTAGCCTATTGTCCCTTTAACCTTGTCTCACACATCTGTCTTTTTTCCATGTCAGTTATCAACATTAAAACAGTCACACTATGTATCACTTAATCACCGTACATATAGATTTGTCCTTTATCCTTAACCTTCATAAAGTTTTGTTTTGAAAAGTGTAAATTATGTAAAATGTATAATTGAACTCAAAGCATTTACGCATACAATGATTTTAAAGCCAAAATATATTGAGCAATATTTGAGTACCGTAATTGTCTCTTCTTTTTTTTTCTCCATGACAGCAATGTTGCTCACTGTGTGAACTTCTAATCCAGGTACAAACATCATTTTTAAATCCACATTCTGATTATTATAACCCATTCAACAGGCCCCAGATGGCAATGTGATGTTTGCTATTTATGATGGTCAATAGTGCAGAGGACACAAGGATGATGTTTTTACAAAGATAGCCATACATTATTTTTCAATTAAGACATAAAAAAGCAAGGGAAGCTCTAACAACAAAAAATTGTTTCATTATAATTGACTTTATTCATTGGATAATTCAAATCAAAATGTTTTAAATCAGTGCAGATTAGACGGCATAAAAACCCATGATTCACCCTTACCCATGCTGGTACTTAGCCATGTATTTTACATTTTGCATTGATGTGCCAAGGATTTGACATATCTGAGGCTGGAGTTGCCAGCAGAGAACAAAGGAGGTGAGTGGGATTTTTTAAAAGCAGTTCTTCGGTGTTCATCTCACTACATCTAAAAAAAACGTTCAACAATTTCAACAGCTAAGTGTGTTTCAAGAATCAGGTGTCCCAATAGCTTTGGTTTGTCCAATCTCATTTATTTGAAAGTCCTTTTATTGTATTTGGTGAGCCTTCACATCTACTGCTGGATTCTCAAAGTGTATTTTTTTTTTCGCCAGTGTAATTCCTGTCTGTCTTCCATTTGGTCTCTTTGCATTCACTGATAAATCACACCGCTCTCTGCAGCACAGAGCGTTTCAACTTGCGAGGTGGGTGCTTCAGATCACAGCCGGGTCTGCCGTTAATGGCTGTCTGGTGCCATTTTGACACAGTAACAGTTGATTTATGGGCCTGACAATGTGGGCGAGTCATCCATCCATCAGAGTCAGCTGACAGAGGGGACAGAGAACAAATATGAGCATGGTGCCACACTGCAGTCACACACACACACACACACACACACGTGCAGACATCCTAATTTTATTATCCTAAATAATAAGATTCTGTCATTGTCAGAAGCAAATACTTAGTGGTGTTATTGAAAATGTCTCTTGAATTGTGCTCAAAGTTGAGGATTTGTCAAATATTCTTTTTTATTCTTTTTAAAAAGTAGATACTTTAGCTTTTTTAAATGTTTGAGAGATAAAAAGGGCCCACTGTGATGTGCTTTGTTTGTCATTCTGTTTATCAATTTAATATTAATGCTGTTAAATTAAAAATACGTTTCTAACTACAATTTTAGCACTGTGAGATAAGAAATAATTTCCGCATGTCCAACTTTTGTATTATTTAACCAGTAAAACCTCATCCTGGCCAAGAGGGGCAGCAGCACAATAAACAAGTTACAGACATAAAATACAGAGCAATTACAGACACAGATCAACATGTCCAGAGTCAAAGAGAAGGAAAGTAATTATTCAAAGCATCTACCACCTGAAGCATCTTCCTCCAACACCTTCAATCTACTTTTAAAAAGATTTAAAGAGACCAGCTCACCCAGACACAGATCATGCTGCAGGAGATTCCCGGCTGCAGGAGCAGCGTACCCCGAAATTCCCCATTTCAATGTTGAAATATTTGTAAAACACTGATAGCTAAACTGACTTGAAATGTATTTTGCTACAAAAATCTTGTTTGATCTTGATCTTGTTTTTGTCTTTGCCAGGCCAATATATCCACATAATCAATAAGAGGTAAAACCTTCACCTCACATGTTTACCTTTTAAAGGTGAAATCTAGAGTAAGGAGGACAGGGATCAATGAAAGCGCCTGAATCAATAGCTAACTCTGAAACAGAAATGAGTTCATGGACTTCAAAAAGGATTTCAATATATTTCATTTTAAGCAGCTTCCAAACCTTGAAACCATGTACCCCTTTGCCGCAGACAACAAATGTGCCAGCCGAGCATGACTACAGGTGTACTCCTGGTATGAAAGCACACAGCAGCTGGTTATCACTGTGCTGTTAGGGATTCCAAAACACATTAAGAAAACAATGATATCCTTCACATTCAGATTGAATAATGCAATCATTTGTCAACTGGGGTGCCTTGAACATTAATATCAGTTCAAAACAAAATGCAATAGCTGTGTCTATTAAAGTATGGCTAAGGGGTTTCAAGTATTTATATTTCTGAAACTGTTCAATTCAATCATATACATTGCTATATTTCAGGTGCAAGTGTGAAATGTTGCCAGCTTCAGTCTCAGCTGCAGCCAAGGTGAGCTCTGTGGCTAAAGCTGCCATAAAGCCAGTGTCTTTATGGCAGTTAGACACCAGATCCCTGAGTGGGTAACCTGGCCTGGCTGTTTCCCCCCCCCGAGGCCTGCCTGAATTAATCATGGCTGAGCAACCAAGCAGCCACTGGGCCGAAACACAAAAGCACAAACAGGCTTCTATACAATCTCCATGGAGAGCTGCTGCGGTGGAGGATGGCAGGGAGAAATGGTGCAACACAACCAGGACCTACAGTATATCTGTTACCAGAGCTCAATTTTTATCCTATAGCAGGATCATAGGATAGTAAACTATTGAGCGAACACTTATTTTTCTCCTGAGGTGGAAAAGTTGTCATATAAAAAGGAGACAATACAGTAAAGCCTGAAAGAAACTAATTTGCTGGATAGACCTTGATGTTTGCTGTAAAGGTTTCTGCTTATTCTGCTGCAGACAAAGCACTCATGTCTTGTCGCCTGCCACTCATTATGCTCTCATTTCTCCATACCACTAGAAATCCCTCAAAACCTGAGTTTAAACAGAGAGGGGGTTCTATGGGTGTGTATGTAACAGCCATGTGGACTTCAGAGGACACACAGGAACCCTTGTCAGACCCTCTCTCTATCCTAACTGGTTACAAACACCAGAGGGATAAGATAGCTTAATTGTGTTAGCTACATATTCTCACAAGTTTATTTATATAAATAACAATGGATAACATAAATGGATCCACATTTTTCTTGGCTTTTAGGTGTTTAAGATATTCTTGAAAATTGAACAATATCATGGAAACCCTACTAAGAATTTCACGTGTTGTAGATCAAATCTTTATTTTTAAAGAATTTAAAACGAACAATGGAAAGACAACATTTTGGCACCGAGTAGAGATTAACGATTAATAATAGGGCAGGTAGGGATTTATTTAAAACGTCATTAAACAATGTATACTTAATCATGTCTAGTTATGTGACGCTGACAGAAAATAACACATGATTGCTATCTTGGACCAAAAGGGGAGAAAATTACCCACCTAAAAGTAACAAGCCGAAACAATGATGCTGCCAGGCCCCGACTGCAGCGGGATAACACCCTCTCTCTATTGTGTGTGTGTGTGTGTGTGTGTGTGTGTGTGTGTGTGTGTGTGTGTGTGTGTGTGTGTGTGTGTGTGACCATGTTGATGTTCTTCATCCTTCAGCTCTCTCCCGTGTCAAACTGTAATTCATTCTGTGAGTGAAATCATCTGAATGTCAAGTCGTTTGCCTGCAGGAGTACCAGACAGAGCAGTAGAAGGAGAGAAGAATGAGGTTACAAATCTTTCATGTCTAACATAGTTCTTAATTTTCAGATTACCTATATATCAAGATCTCTCACCTGAGAAGTCTTGACATCCGTCAGTTTGGAAGTGACAGACATCAAGATGAGTCTATGGGAAGATGTGAAT